AAACGAAAAAATAAAAAAAAAATATACATATATATACTATGTATCAGAGAGAGAGAGAGAGAAACGTTTGGAGTTTGAAAAGCTGTTGCCAGTTATTGTCTCGCCCTGAAATGTATGCTATATATGGAGATGGATACACTGGGTGCCTGTGTCCCATAAAGAACCCCCTAGATTCCGCCGCTCCCTCTCCTCCTCTCTCGTTTTTTGGCCATCAATAAATAATAAATTGCCTATAAAAACTGATAAATTCATTGATGAATCTTCGCTGGAGTTGGGCTCCCGTTCCCAGTACCCGATCCGGGTCCCCCTTCCCTTCTCCTCTTGTGCCTCTGTTTCTGGTTATGTGGCTCCCATAACGCGTTTGTCTGACTGCCATATTTGCGGGCACGCCCCCTTAATCCTGTAATCCGCCCACGCCTAGCCTCCCCCTCAGTCCGATTTACCCCTCTTTAAGTGAGTAATGGAAATTCATGGTAATAAATGTATGGAAAAGCAGTCAGAGACAAGGAAAACGGGAAGAGGAGAGCTGAAATGCGGGTTGCATTTTTTTTTTGTTTTTTTTTTTATTTTATTTTTTTAAGCCATTTACCCCGCTTGGCCTTCTCCTCCATAGTTTTGAGCCACTACAGGCATGGTCATGGGGCATGGATGCACTGGAAAAAAATAGTCATGTTTCGAAATATTATAGATTAATGTGATTAGTGATGGATCAAGGCATTTTTTCAATTAAAAAACAAAGTATATGTATGTTTTTATGGGAAAATATTTATTTTAGTTAACGAATTAACTGCAAATATATATATATAATAACTTTTAATGATTTCTTATTTACTTAATAATGTAAATTGAATCTAAAGACATTTTTAAAGACATTTTTAATATTGTTTAAAAGCTATTTCCCATGGGTTTTAGCTTATTTTGTATTACATTTTGAAATATACTTTAAATAGTATTTAAAAAATAATTAAAAAAGGATTTAAAAGCTACTTTATTTGGATTTTTAAACCTCTTTCAAAGTCAAAGCTATATTTTTTTCCTATATAAACTAAATGCAATCCTTATTTTTTCCCTGCACAACTTCAGTGACTTTGTGCGGGTAAATAGTCAGCCATCTATTCATGGCTTACTTAGAACTGGAATAGTTATTTCCATTTTGATTTGGCCCAAATCATTCCCTCGCCAAGCTTTATAGTTTTTCTTTTTCCGCAAAATCCAAACATTGATTTATGCTTGTCTCTGGGATAGAAGAGGGAAACGGCTTGAACTTGGTTCTAAGCCTTATGTTTGGGGCTAAGCTGAGGATAGAAGAGAGCCAAAAGTGTTGGCCAAGTTAGCAAAACCTGGCCAAAGGGAAGCCGCAAAAGAACAATACAGTTGATGCTATATAAATTTAGGATTGTGTTCACCTGTTCGAACTTAAGAAGATTACAAATCGGTTTCAAAAGCCTTAAAAGCTGTGATTAAGGTTATTGGTTTAGCCTTAACTTGTGAGAGAAACTTATAGTTTCTTTTAGTTTTAAATAATATTATTTCAAAATAACCGTAAAATACCTAAATTGGTTTGTACTAGGCTTGAAAATCCTTTGATTTCTGTTTATTTTCCCCTGGAAAATTCCACAGACTCATTGGTTTCCCTTGAGGCCATCTATCTATTTCATCAATTCATCTATTTTTGATTTACCAAAGAAAAATCTCAGACAAACATTATTTCCTGTTGGCCAAAACCAAACCCATTGTTTGTGTATTTTCGCCGCCCATTTTTTTTTTTTTTTTGTTTTGCTTTGGTAAATGTAATTTTAAGTGACGTCGCCAAAGTTGAGACGTGACAAAATTACAAAATATTTTGTAAGCTCTTAAAACCGTTGACGGTGGCAAAAAAAGGAGGTGGCACAGCAGCAGGACATGGCCATAACATGGCCCATAACAATAAAAACAAATAGAAGCAACGGCAACATAATACTTAATAACGTGCATTTTGATGTTGTCGCGGTTGAAGGGGGCCGAGGAATTTCCCCGAATCGAAGGAGGGAAAACAGAAAACAGAAAACGGGAAAGGAACTCCGGGGACACCGCCATTATCTCCCTTTTTCGGGGACAAAAACTTTTGTGCGGGCCAGGCCCATCAAAGGCGGCAGTTCGCCTCTTTTTTTTCGGTGACTTGGACACCAAAACGAAATAGTTTCGCCGGCAGCCAAAAACTATTTCAAGTTTCGGCCTTGCCCCGCTCTCCCCAAAAAAGTGGCAAACAAACGAAGTAGGAAAAGGCAACAACAGTAACGGCCAAAAGTTTGCCAAACTTGTCCTTGGACAGTGGTGACAATGCCCCAATATTGCGGCATAAAATCATTTATAATTAAGATTTAAATATACAAAGCTTAGATGAAGAAGAAGAAAGATTTATAAATATTTTAAAATTATTAAAAACCTGTTTGATGTACTAAAAGCATTTTTTAAAAATATTTAAAAAAATGTAAAACCTTTCTTAAATATTACAAATATTTTTATAAAATTTAAAAGACAATTACAATTGTGGTAAAATGTTAAAAACATCTTTTTAATTAAAAATAAAATATTTGTAGTATTAACAACTTTTTAAAATATTGAAAACATATTTTGAAATATTTTAAGACAGTTTTCTAATACAAAAAACCATGTTGAAAATATTTTAAAAATTTAGAATATAAATTATTTTCAACTTAACTTTTATCTTAAGATTTTTTTTTGTAATTAAAACAATGTATAGATAAAACTCTTAACCAAATTAGTGTAATATTTACAAAAACAAAAAATTATTTTTTAAAAAATAAAAATTATTTTTTAATTTTTTTAATATTAAAACCTTATTTTCTATTTACAAAAACAAGTCATAAAAACCGATAAAAATTAAAGAAGAAAATAAATAAATTAATTTTTTTCTTATTAATTTTAAGAAATAGTTTAAAATCCAGAAAGCAAAACAACATAAATAAACTCACCTAATCACTGTTCAAGCCAACACTTTTCCTAATTATTATTATTATTTGTGCAGGATAATGCAATGAAAGCTCTCCACACACACACATATATACATACATATGTACATACCTAGTACACTAAGTAGGGGGATTCCCCCGAAATGTGAATTATTCGCTGTGTCGTCGTGTATTTCATTTTTCGTATGACGACTGCTCGGAATTCAATTGCACAGCGACAAGGTGGCAGTGGCAACGGGAAAAGCGGGAAATGGGGTGGGGAAAATGTGCTGGGATCAGGGACTGTCGACTGCGGTTTTCCTCTTATTATGCCGCAGAAGCGGCAAAAATAATTTCGGTGTGAATTGCCAAACGGAGAATGCACTCCACTAATTAGATGCATAATTAGACATGAAGTTGTGCGGGCTTTGAAGGGGATTTTCCCCCCAAACTGAAGTGGAGGTGCTATTAAACCTGTATGCCGCAGATTAATTGAAAGTGTTTGCCAAGAAAGTGGAAATCCAAGACAGTTGGAGGAGTAGGAATTCTATAATTTTAGGTCTAAGCCAAGAGGGAACTCAAAAACGAAAAAGTGCTGCATATATTTATATACATATAGTTAAATATTCTTATATATATTTATATTTTATAATATTTATATATTTTTAGCTTCTTTGCTCTTAACAGAATGAAAAAATCCCTGCTAGAAATATTTAAAAAATCGAATTATCAAAGCTTCTTTATATTCTTTCCCTTCCGATTTCTATGTTTGTTCCAGTTTAAAACCAAATAAATAAATAAAATAGTTAAAAGTTTTTGCTTTTAGCCAATTTAGTTGCTTCTTTCTTCCATTCGCTTGGCTAATTCAATTCCATTTCTTGGCTTTTCTTTGTGCCAATTCCGTTAACTTCTTCTCGAATTTGGCCTAATTGAAGTTCGGCTTCAACTTGCATCGAAGATGCGTCAGCTGAAGTTGCAGTGGCAGCAGGTGCAGTCGGTCGTCCCTCTCCCTCGTGCTCTCTTTCTATATTTTGTAGCCTTTCTTCCGGCATTTCTCTTGGCACTTCTTCTCACCTTTCTCCTGCTTTCTCTCCCTTTCTCTCTCTCTCTCCTGGCCGCAGAAAGTTGGGCACGTGCGGAGTGCACGTAGCCGGAAACAAATGACATTGTCAGCGCCCTGGACCCAAAAAACTGAACAGACGACCGACCCCTTGTCGCCTTTTCCGCACATTTCCTTCACATTGCTTTCACATTGCTCCTCCTTCCCACCCGCTTTCACATTTCCCGGCCAGTTTTCCCAGCCATTTTTGGCTGCTGGTCTTGTCGAGAAGAAATCCCAGCTAAGCATTTCCGGTCGCGTTCTAGCTTGCCTGCTCCTTTTTCCTTGGCCTCTGCTGTTGCAGCTTTTCCTGCAATGCACACAACACATGGGTGTGTGTGTGTGTGTGTGCTGTGTGTATGTGTGTGTGACAAGGCCATTAGCCGCGACGGCTTTGGCAGCCACAAAAGTTGAGACGCATCCTTGCAGCTGCCATTTTATGACAGTCTTTTGTTGTCTGCAGCAAGGCCTGCCTTGGCCCTTTGTCTGCCCCTTTCTCTACATTTTTACACTTGAAAATGAGCTTATTTTTTATAGGAAATGTATTTAATATTTTATAAATTTTATTATATGTTTATTAATTGTTTTATAACCAAGAAATACTTGAATATGTTGCTCCATGAAGTAAGTTCTTAGTTTTAAAATATTTTCTTAGCTTTCCTTTTACTCTTAATTATTTTTAAATATTTCTTAGAGAACAAAAAAAAGTTAAAAAATATATATAATGAAAATATCTTTAATTTATTTAATTAACAAGAGTTTTTCCAAAGTGCCTCCGGCAGCTGTCACTTGGCTGTTTTGGCTTATTATCCAAGTTTCGGGTCCGAGCTGCGCTTAAATCAAATGACAAAACGGCAGCCGGCTGCCAATTAGTTTTCTTTCTTTTTTTTCTGGTAAATTAAGCTGTGAACTGCCACTGATTTTCCACCGAATTTTCCTCTATTCCCCAGGTGGCAGCTTGGGCAGCACGAGCGGCAGCGGCATCAACACCGAGTGTCCAACGGACTCGTTTCGCTGCAACAACGGCAAGTGCATCTCGCACCACTGGGTCTGCAATTACCAGAAGGACTGCGACGACGGCGAGGATGAGATGCAGTCATGTCGTAAGTATCCCCGGGAAGCATTAAGCGGACAAGCCGCGAAAACCACACAAAAACTCGGCTATAATTAAAATGTGAAATAAAGGAATATATTCGGGCGGTAATTAAGTGAAGTGAAGAAAACCAAGAAAATATTCAAGTGTTCAGTGGGTGAAAGGATGCTTAAATCGATTTTCACTTCACTTGATATTAATTTAATTAAATGGGTGATTATTGCATTGCCGATTATCGCCGAAATGTGTAATAAAAAAGTGCTTAAAATCGTTCAAAAGAACGAAAGAAAAGAAACGGAAAAATGCAAATAAATTGAATTGAAAAATAATTTATCGATTATACTTTGATAATTTCGATAATAACGTTATATAGTTTAAAATGTATGTTTTCTATATTTTTTGGATTTATTATATTGATGTTTTCCTCTTAATATAAACAGAAATTATCGATTATACTTTGATAATTTCGATAATTACGTTATAAGCAATATTTTTCAATATTTTAAATTTTGATATATCAATGTTTTAAATACTTTTGAATAGCTTTATACGTTTCCGATATTTTTTGATTTATTATATTGATGTTTTCCCTTTTAATTTAAACAGTGTTATTGGGGATTTTTTTAAGTTCCATTATAATTTGATAATTTCGATAATAATATATTTTCCATATTTAAAATTTCGATAAATCAATGTTTAAAATATTGTTATTTTATTATTTTTTTTTTAATATTTATTTTTTAATTCTATTATTTTTGTTATTTAAATGTATTGTAAAATTAATTAAGATACAAATAGCACAACGAAAACTGCGCTTTCAATTCAAATTTGTTCTTCTTGCTAAATCTGGACTTGAGAATTATAAACATCATTTTCTATATCCTCCTGCAGCCCCACCGGAATGCGAGACACCTCAGCTGAATTGCGGGCAGTATGTGTTCAACAAGACGTACTGCATCCCTCCGCATTATCGCTGCGATATGATCGACGACTGTGAGGATAAATCGGACGAGGCGCAGTGCAGTGAGTACTACTATATGTATACACTATAAGCAAATAGACATCTTTCCCTGTATATACAACATACTATAATGCCGCGTACAAACGAATTGAATCTCAAGGATCCCTTGTGTGGGAAGCGTGCCTTTTCTCACTTTCAATGTAAATTTGTTGACTCGACAAATATTGGCTGGGTCGTCCTGAAAGTCCTTTTCCCTTGCTCTCTCGAATGTCTGAAGGGGGAGCAACAATTTGCTTAGCAAAATGTTTACATTTTATTATGCCAATTTTATGTATGCAAATTCCAACAAATTCACATGAACCGAGGGAGGCGACCGCAGCTCTTGTTTTCTTGTTTTCCCAACTATATTACACAAAGGTGCCCCCGAAACAGTACATAAATATTTATTCTTCACCCCGAAACTTACTACATATATGCCAAGGGGATATCTGTAAAAGGATATCCTTGAAATCCCCAAGGTAAGGGCCGCAAATTAGCGAGGAAAACTCAAGGCGAACTCAGCACGGCATAACACAAATGGATCAATTTGATGTTGGGCCATAAATCTTTTCCAGTTTTTTTTTTATATTTTGTTTTTTGCGGGTTTTTGGGTGAAAGGTTAACCCTTTAGCTAGTTGTGGGGAATGTAAATTGATGATTGCCAGCCCAGGGAGAGAGAGCTTCATGAACGGAATGGCAAATGAACTTTGGTTAACAGCCAGTGAAAATGGATACACTTCAAGGAAAGGGAAAATCCGCTGGGAAAGGGAGTTTTCAGAGAGGAAGCTGAGGCATCACGAACACATTAAATACCTCTTATTATCTAGGTTTGAGTTGGGTCTATATATTGGGAATATTTAACAAGAAAATTAATCACACAAAGTGGGAAAAATGTCAGATATTTAATATATTTATTCTTTTATCATAATATTTTTCAATAAATTACTAAAATTCTCTCAAGGATATGTACATAAATTGCTCATATTTATAGTTTAATATGTCTCCTATTTAATATAAATTATTTTAGTTAATAATTTGCTTAAATAAGCTTGTAAAAACGTAACAAGAAATATTTAAATTAATTTAGACATTGAAAATGTATTTAGACATTGAAAATTTACTAAAATCTTTACTTAAAATTTACAAACAAAAGTCAGAAGGTTGTAGATTATTCGATTTAAATTATTTTGATCAATGAATAATTTTATTAAATAATAAATTAAATAAAATCCTCCCTTAAAGTCAACAAAAATGTTGTTTATTAATATATTAAACTATATCTATTAATTAAGTTATGTTATAAATTTTTTTTTTTATTTATGTTTGAGATATTAAGTTATAAAACAAATCACTTAAAATTTTAGTTAAACACTAAAATCTCCTTTAAATAATTTCCACAAAATTTCCCCTTGCCTAATAACCAATTTCCATAACTTTTCACTTTTAACCAACGAACAGGACAGACGGGCCGCCGATTAATTTAAGGCTCTTGGCACTTGGGGGAATATTTATCGCTGATGACTTTAATAATCCGCTGACAGGACACCTCCTCCTTCTCCCCCCTGAATATCCTTGGGAAAAGTCCCTGTTGTCTGCTCGTTTTTGGGCAAAGAATTTAATGCATTTTCAACAGCTCTCGCTCGGTCGGACTTTGTATAGTATGAAGTAGGAGTAGAGGGGAGGCTCCCCCCCCTTCTTTCTTTTGCAGCTTTGCCGCTTTTCCAGGATTTCCCTACTACCAACTCCTCCGCATAAAGTTCAAGTGCATTCAGCCAGCAGACTGTGAGCCGCACATTTTGATTAAAAGTTTGCCTGGTGAGAATCCAAGAAAAGCGGGAAATGAGAAAAGCGGAAAAGTGGGGGTGAAAGCAGGCGGCATGTCCATGCAAATCGCCAAAAAGTGCCCGGGACTTGTAGAAGCATTTATTGCTTGTTATTTAAGATTTATGCACACTCATACACCGACAGGCAAACAAATATTTAAATATCTTTGAGGCGACCAATTTCCAAGTGTCCTTCCGCAAAAGTCCTTCCCCTCCTGCTCCAGCCAGTCGGCATCCTTTTGTGCAAGTTTTAGCCGGCAGCTTTGACGACTCTCCGTCTAGTTGAAACTCCGAAATCGTGAAAACGGCTAGACAAACGCCTGGCAACTTGGTCCTGGCCCTGAGCTCCTCCTCCGCACTCCTTCTAAGCCGAGCTAGAAGGCCAATTTGTCCGCAGTTGGGAGCAGCCGAAGCTGATCACTTGGCTATATCCTTCTCTGGCATAAGATAAAGCCACAAAAAATAACATTACTTGCAATTTGAAAAGCTTTTTAAAGTTGGATTTGCTTAGGTTTTATTAATTTGCAATTATACCGTTGAATATTTCTCCTTAACAAAATAATTAAACTTAATTGTAATACTTATCGTTTTATCGATAAGCTCTCTCTTAAATACTAGACTCTATCGTTACTTAACAAGGACATTTCATGTTATTACTGCAAGTCTTAACCTAATACTATTAATACAACTAAAGACATATTTGAACATATTTTTCAATACTTTAAGTAATGTTTTGTCAAACAATAGTTTTTTAGGGAAACATTTACTTAGCTTGCAAATATTTTTAGCCATTTTTTGAGTTTTGAAAACAACACTGATGCAGGGCAGATGGCAGACAGAGATGGAAGGCGCAACAACTTCACTCCTTTTTGGCGTAGAAAACTTTTGCCGGCACAAGATCAAGTTTAAATTTCATTTTAATTTAATAAGACGTTGCCGTAAAACGAGAAGCGGGAAAGGGAGAGAGAGATAGAGAGAGGGAGAGAGAGCTGCAGGTCCTTCGTGCCTTTCTTTCTGGCTTTCTCCTTCTAGTGCCAGCAGCCTTCTCGCTCGCTCTTTGTTGCACAATAATTTATCGCGCTTAAATGGCGACAAAATGTTCACTCTTATTGCGTTCTTAACAAATTTATTTTGCGTACGTGTCAACGCGTCGTCTTCTTCTGCTTGTCTCGTCTCGTTGACAGTGGGGAACCTTTTTCCCCCGATTTTCCCGGGATTTTCCACCCATTTCCCACTCTCCTCGTCGGTGTGTGTTTGTTTGCTTCGCTTGCCTTTGTTTGCTTAATTTATGGCATATAAATATTAGAGCGGGCTTATTTCAACTATTTAATTACTTCAGGTGTTGTGCGAGCAGGGAGATGAATGTGGGGGGAGCCCGGAGCCCAAGATGGAGGATGAGCCAGACAGATAGTCCACAGATACAGAGGAGCCAAACACCCACATCCTGCCCCACCAAATGCCTTATAAATGGGGCCATGTGTGTAATTAAAATCATGGCAGATTGTTTGTATTTTAACTAATATTTCCAGGCCTTAAATCATAAGTTTTTTCAAGAATGAACTCCCCCAAATAATGGTTCTAAAGATAAGGTCTTGGCTGTAATTTAGGATCTCTTTCATTTTGAATAATTAGGAAAAGCTAAGTATATCATTAAAATATATTTCTAATATATACATATATTTATTGCAAAGTAATTTTTAAAGTTAAGACAACATTTAGTGACCAAATGTTGTTCATACCTTATTTTTCCCAAGTGTAGTTATATCTTACTACTTGTGTACACAAGAACACCTCCAAACTCAGTGCGAAATAAGCGCTCCTCCACTAATAACTGTGAGAACAAACAGCGAACATCTGCTGCTGCAAAGGACACTTGGAAGTTACTGCTCTACCGTTACCTTATCACCCCGCCAACTTCCGCCACCCACCCCCCAATTGCCCGCCCAAAAGCCACCCATTTCCGCTTTGCCGATTATTTTTGTTTCCTTCTACGCCAGCGTTGCGGTCGCAAGTCAACAAGCTGAAGCTGAGTCAGTAGTAGTGGGAGAGAAAGTGTGATTTCAAATATATATATCGATAAAAATATTTATCGAAATATGATTTAATTAACAACAACATATTTTTTTATATATATTCTATTATTATTATTTAATATTTCTTTTTATTTATTTCAAAATGTAATGGAAAATTATTTAGACTGATGCCCCAGAAGTCTGATTTTTGATATAAAAATATATCTCCGATAACTAAATATTAATAAATCGATGCAAGCAATCAACTTTGTCATCTCTAATTTAAAATAGGGACTAAAGCACTCTTCTCTGTTTACTGAAACCAGATGAGCAGCAGTCCCCAAAAAAAAAAAAAAAAAAGCCGGAAGAGCGGGGCGGTAGAAAACGAGAGGAAAATGAGGAAAATGAGGGAAAAGTGATAAGGAAAGAACGGAGGGGTTGGGTACAATTTTCCAAGCGGACATTTCGCATTTCGTTTTAATTGCAGGCAGCATCTAATGAGGCAGATACTGCCGCGTAAAAAAGTGCGTAAAACCAGAGGGAGCATCGTAGAGCTTAAGCTCACCAGAGTTCTTCCCCTTTTTTCGTATACCTGGCCCACAGGACTTAAGTGTTATGGCCGCAGTCATTTCATTTAACTGTTCAGTGTTAACAAATGCAAAAGAAAAATTAATGAAATTAATGCAAAACTTAAAAAAAAATAACGCTAAATAAATAAAATAAAATTTTTAAAGTGACAACAGTGCGTATACGTAATATAAAAATGTATTAAAAAAAAAATGTATAGAGGAAAAGTACGTAATTTTTGTATAGAATAAAGTAAGTTTCTATAGGCTTTGTTAAATTAGTAATTATTAAATAACAATTTACAAATTAAATTAAGAGAGAAAGAGAGAGAGAGAGAGAACGTATTTAATACTAGGCAGAAACAAATGCCCTTATTATTTATATTTTACTTTTGCTTTGTTGAACTTAATATGTAACTAATTTAACATCTGTTTCCAAACTTAAAAGAAACCACTTTAAATATAAATTTAAATAATATATTTCTTATTTATTTTATTTCATTAAATATAACTTATTTTTTAATGCTTCTTAAACTGCTAAGAAACTTTATTAGTCAATTTCCAAGCTTACAAATTATTAAAAAACATTATTATTAAAGCGAATTAACATTTAAATTTTGATTAGCAATTTATTTAATATTATTTAGAATGTATTTCCCTAAAATATATACATTTTTTTTGCGATTTTAGAACCAACTTTCCAGCACTGCCAAATGTCTCATAAACTGTCACCAACTCCTCCTCTCTGGCCCCCTTCTCCTTTCTTTCAGCCCCCTATTCTCCTGAAATTCTCCTCTACTTGCCACCTTCTCCATTACTCTTTGCCCCCGTTTTTATCTCGTTTTTTCTCTCTCTGTAGTTTTGTGAGTGGCGACGATTGCAGCTGACGTTTATTTGACTGCAGCTAAACGTGACGCTACCAGTGGCCGGGGTTTCTGGTGCTTCTCGGAGGGGGAGAATGGGACATGGGGGCGTGGCACTTGTCGCGCGTAATTACACAACCCACCGTAAAGAAAATTCCACCCAGAAAACTACTCTCTCCACTTGATACACGCATAAAAGTCTTGGCTTGCAATAAAAGTTAATGCTGAGAAAACAGCGAAGGGAAAGAACCAGAGAACCCAATTAGAAAGTGTTTGGTTAAAACAAAAACAAAAAAAATAAACAAAGACAGCAACAAAAAAAACAGTGAGAGAAAATGCGGGGGCAGTAAGTGTCGTTGTTGTTGGTTGTTTGCAAAGTGCCAACAACAAGCTTCACTCCCGCTATTTTTCGGTGCAAAGTTTAGTGCCAAAAAGTTTTTGCAACCAAAACGGAGAAGCGAGTGAAAAATGAAGCTTTTCCAACAAAAGGTGGGGGAGGGGAGGTTCAGAGGAAAAATAAAGATGGGTAGGGTAGGTGGGTGTGTAAAGAGTCTAAATAAAGGGGCAAGGAACGAGCACTATTTTATGTTCTTGCCGTGAAAATTGCAATGATTGCAGCTACAAAAACACCAAAGCCCTTTTTTTAGCCATTATAATATATTTTTTTGTAGTGATAGGATAGTGATAGGATATCGATATCGATAATTAAGATTGCATATCGCAAAGAAAAGCATATATCGAAAATTTTAAATATTTAAATATTATATTTTTCAACAAACAAACAATCTATGTTGTCTTTATTAACAAATAATATATAATCAAAATTTGATCTTACCCTTGATCAAAGATAAAATATCTTTAGATCTACATACGTTCTTTATTGATCGATATCTTGAATATATGTTATAGAAAAGCCAGGCAGCTACAGAATTTGTAACAAATTGGGGTCGTAAATCTATTGGCCTGGCCAAAACGCCCAGCTGCAGCGGTTCCAGGGATTAGCACTAACAAAGTTAATGTAGGAATGGTAGTATATAGTAGGAGGTTGGAAAAGGTTTCGGGGGGATGGGGATGGGGAGGTGAGGAGCAGACCGTTCCCGGAGTGCGTGACACATTTTTATGATTCCGCGGAGTTGGAGTTGGTCTACAAAAAAATTTCCCCTTCCGTCGCTCCACTTTGTCAATAGGAAAACCCCAAGGGGAGACTAAAAAAAAAGGGGAAAAAAACAACAAAAATAGAGATTTATGCACTTGAACAAAATATTTAATTTATAAATATTCTTTGATAAAAACATTTAATATACTAATTAAATATTTAGATCGTTATTATTCACTTTGTTTATTATTTTTAGCAATATTAATTAATTTAAATATTGAATTATTTAGTGAAGTTCTAAAATTAATTTTAAAAAGAAATATATATTTTAACAGTTACTTTTAATTTTTAAATTTTCCACTTTTTTGGGTTTTAGTATATAAATTAGTATACCATAAAAAATAACTAATTTGCATTTTAAATATTTAAAGAGTTTTTCCCTTTGATTTAATTTTAATTCTTAAATTTTGACGACTGTTACTCAATTTTTAAATTTAAATTTATATATTTAATATTGAATTCTTAAAAAAAAATTGCTTTTTCAATTTAAATTATTTTTTAGTCCCCGTAATAAATCTTAAATTAATTTTTGCTGATTTAAAAATATTTCTTTTTTCGGTTTGATTTCAATTTAATTGTTTATTTCTAATCAGCAGAGTTTTAATAATGTTTGAAATTCCTTAAATAATTATTTAAATTATTTTACAAATCTTGTAAAATAGTAAATTAATTCTGTGCATTTCCTTTTTCATTTTTCCTAGTTTCTCCCTTTGATTTAATTTTTAATTCTGAAATTCTGGGGAGCTCGACTTGATTTCTAATTGAAATTAATATTTAAACCCTTCACCTGGTTAAATGTATATTTGATGTAATTTTTTCTCGTTTTGTATTTTTTTCCGTACAAAGGGCGTGGGGGGTGGGGGGTGGGGTGTGGGAGGGGCAGACAGACAGGGACAGCCTGGCGGCGCTACCTGCACTCGCACATAGGGAGCAGCAGAGACGCAATGTGGGATACGCATTCCATTGTTTTGCTTGGAGAAAGTTTTGTGCTGTCGGGAATATTTATACAACTTGGCTTGTTTAACTTGCACTAATTAAGTTTGCCCTGCCACACTCGGATGCTCCCGTTGGAGCCGTTGGAGGAGTGCTCCAGGACCTGGCCGAGGGTGGGGTGTAGGGCCCCAAGCTGGAGCACGGAGTGCAAAGGACGACGACGAGTGATTCCGGCAGCTTAAGAAGCGGGAGACATGCATAAAATAACCCCGTTTGCCAAGTTTATGATGTCCAGAGAGAGAGAGCCCTGGGGGGGATGGGCATATAGATCAACCAGTCGAGGATTAAACCTAAACGGATATATACATCTACAGTGCACGGCGAGAAATAAGTGTCTGTTTCTTTTAGAAAATATATATAGAAAAATAAAGTTATTTTTAACTAAAGTTTACTCTTGAGTTTAATAAAGACACATTTTATTTTATGTATAATTTATATTTTCATTTAATTTAAACTTAAAAAATTTTTTTACAATTTAGTCATTCAAATTAATAACATTTTCATATTAATCGAAGCCTTTGAAATACCCTGTAAATATTTAGAAATAGGAACTGCTACAAAAAAATTATGAATTCTACCCGGAATTTTTTTACAAGTACTTTTAAATTATAATAATAGGTAAAAAATACAACTTGGAAGCTTTTTTTATGACTTCAAATATAATTATTAAAATATTATTATTTAAATCGATTTTTAACAGGAATTTCTAAGGCTTAATAGGAATTATATTACAAATATTAATTTTTTTATAGACTTAAAATATTATTAAGCATAGCTTTAATTCTAATTTGTACAGGAATGTTAAAGGTTTAAAGCTGCATTTTAATTTTAAAAGAAACATATTTAAACTAGGAAATTAACCCATTTTTAAATTTAAATTTTAAGGTAATTACTGAAATAATTACCGAATGAGAGGTATTTAAAGTCGTTAACTTGTGTCAGGCCTAAGCATATGTCCTTTTTTTTATTCTCAGAGGAGGATGAGAAAAGGAGAAGGAGAAAGGGGACAAGGGGGAAAGGGAGAAGAAGGAAAAGATGGAGAAAGGGCGAAAGAAGGCAGAAGGAGGAGTAGATAGAGCAGGAGAAATAGATGGAGTAGGAGGGTCCAGCGGCCGAACTACTCGATAATTTATAGCACTCTTGCCTGCCAACACATACATATAGCACACACACACACAGACATACGCAGCCACACTCGCACACACACACACACATACAACTCAAGTGCACAATGCGAGGGCGACTGACTGACCGCCAGACAGATGGACCAATGGACCAATGGAGGGACAATCACGCCCCAACATTTGTACAGCGGCCATGCATTATGTATACACCATGCGTGCCCAGGACCAGGCCAAGGACCTTCCTTCCCAGCCATTCCATCAGCTCAGCCTCCGAGTCCCACCCAAAATGTCTGGCATCAAAATTTAATGTCTTTGGCAGCACAAATAGTTTTGGCCTGCCATTTTTAAGCCGCCCTTTCTCCCCGGAAACCCCACAAACCCCCTATATATCTCTCGCTCTCTGAGAGATCCTAGGAAGCTGGCAGAAGGCAGACGACAGACGACAGACGACAGACAACAGAGGACTCTGATGAACCGAGAAACTGCCGCCTGTCCCTGTCCCTGTCCCTGTCCCTGTCCTGAACAATGCGCCAAGGACCTTCCCCCGCAGAGCCTTTGAATTATGGCCCAGTCCAGACCCTGTCAAGGATTCATTTTACTAGCTTCTCAATGCAAATGCGATTAATTATAACAGAGGACCCCGAAAATGCGCACTAATTGAGTGCAGTCAGGCACAGATTATTATTATCTCAGGGGTGTTTGCGCCGAAATTCTAAATAATAGAGTAAGCCCAGGCCCAAAATAACTAATTAAAGGCTTTAAAGGGTTTCGGTTAAAGCTACAAATTAAAAAAGAAATAAATCAAATATAAATAATATAATATATAAATATATATTTGTATTTAAAAACAACCCCTCCTTTCCAGCCTATCGAAAGTGCCAGCACACGGACGTCTTCTGCAATGCCCCCAATGGAGCTGCTCCAGCGGAGGGCGCCCGGCTGGTGGGACCCTGTGTGCCCAAGGAGAAGCGCTGCGATGGCTACCTGGATTGCCGTACTGGACGGGACGAGGATGGCTGCACCGGCGTGTCCTGTCGCCTGGACCAGTTCCGGTGTGCCAATGGGCACAAGTGCATAGATGCCGCCCTCAAGTGCAACCATCGGGACGATTGTGGTGACAATTCCGATGAGCAGGGTTGCAGTAAGTGATGCCCAAGCCTAAACCTATCCTTTCTGCTAATCCTTGTTTTGTTTGTTTCTTTTTTTTTTATCTAGATTTTCCACCCTGCCACCATGCCCAGTTCCGTTGCTCGAATGCCTTGTGCATCCCCTACAACTTCCACTGCGACGGCTACCACGACTGTGCGGACAAGAGTGACGAGGCCAACTGCACGGCCATTGCCTGTCCGGACAACAAGTTCCTTTGTCCTCGGGGCGGGGCCAGTGGCACGCCCAAATGCATCCTCAAGTCGCAGCTGTGCGATGGAAAGCGTGACTGTGAAGATGGCAGCGATGAGGAGACCAATTGCTGTGAGTATTACCACCCAAAAGATACTGTATCTAGTTATACTGACTTACTCCCGACTTACTCCTGACTCTATCTTAACTTACTGCTGACTTACTCCTAACTTACTGTTGACTTACTCCTGACCTCATCCTGGTTATTCTCCCTCCCCTCAGCCATTGCCTCGTGTCCCGCTTTGAGCTGCGAGTTCAAATGCCGACCCTCCCTCACCGGCGGCGTCTGTTACTGCAAACCGGGTCAGTCCTTGGCCCCCGACAACAGGACCTGCGTGGACCTGGACGAGTGCGCCGAGTGGGGACACTGTGACCAGCTGTGCACCAACACCCTGGGCTCCTACACTTGCCAATGTGCCCAGGGCTACTCGCTGATCAATGACTCCAAGTGCATAGCCCCAGATGCCAATAACTTGCAACTGATCTTTGCCCACGACCGAGCCATCATGAGGATGCTCTCCCATGGCACCGACACCAAGATCCTGGCCAATGCCACGGCAGCGGCAGGTGTTACCTTCCACTATGCCAGGAACACGCTCTACTGGTCGGACATCAAGACGAGAAAGGTGCAGAGTCTGCCCCTGGACCCGCAAAACAAGGCAGTGTCGCCGTTCGATCAGACCCTGCCCGGGACCTGGGCACCCGTGGCCTTGGCCGTGGACTGGGTGGGTGATAAGATCTATGTGGCGGATTTGGTGGGTCAGAAGATCGATGTGTTCGAGCTGAGTGGCCAGTGGCATGCCGTGGTTCTCGGCTCCAATCTTACCTCACCCGCCGACCTGGCTCTGGATCCCACAGCGGGCCTGATGTTCGTGGCGGATGGTGGCCAGGTGCTGAGGGCACATATGGATGGCACACATGCCAGATCCATTGTCTCGGAGGCGGCGTACAAGGCCAGCGGCGTGACGGTGGATATTATTAGCAAGCGGGTCTTCTGGTGCGATTCCCTGCTGGACTACATCGAGTCGGTGGACTATGAGGGGGCCCATCGGGTGATGGTGCTCCGGGGGCAGCAGGTGCCCAGTCCCTCGCGACTGGCCCTGTTCGAGAACAGGATCTACTGGACGGATGCCACCAAGCAGGGCATCATGTCGGTGGACAAGTTCGAGGGACCCAGCTCCATTCAGGTGACGTACAAGGCCAAGGACATCAGGGAGCCCAAGGGTATCATTGCCGTGCATGCCCTCAGCCAGCCGAGGGTATCGAATCCCTGCGGTAACAACAACGGCGGCTGCAATCACATGTGCATTGTGACGGCCGTGAAGGGTGCCCCCACTGGCCTGGGTTTCCGCTGTGCCTGCTCCACCGGCTACCAGCTGGAGACGGATCTGAAGCTCTGCAAGCCCGTGGTGGAGTTCCTCATGTACTCCCAGCAGCGATTCATCAAGGGCAAGGTCTTGGAGCCGGTGATTGAGGGCTTCAGTGATGCCATCATGCCGGTGGTCTCGCGACGAGCCAGGTTCGTGGGCCTGGACTTTGATGCCCGCGACGAGTTCATCTACTACTCGGATGTCCTGCAGGATGTGATCTATCGGGTGCACCGCAATGGCACTGGCCGTGAGATAGTCCTCGCCTCCCAGAACGAGGGCGTCGAGGGTCTGGCCGTTGACTGGGCCTCCAAGAATCTGTACTATATTGACTCCCGCAAGGGCACCCTAAATGTCCTGTCCACAAGGAATGTGACCCATCGACGGACGCTACTGAAGAACCTGAAGCGTCCGCGTGCCATCGTGGTCCATCCCAATCGCGGTTTCATCTTCTTCTCCGAGTGGGATCGCCCGGCCAACATAACGAGAGCCAATACCGATGGCAGCGGACTGCTGGTCTTCAAGAACGTGACCCTGGGCTGGCCCAATGGCCTCTCCATAGACTTCAAGGAGGATCGCGTCTACTGGTGCGACGCCTTGTTGGATCACGTGCAGCATGCCAATCTGGATGGCACGGACATCAAGACAGTCAACTCTCGCCTGGTAAGACACCCCTTCTCCATTGTGATCCACAACGACTGGATGTACATCACGGACTGGCGCTTGGATGCCATCATAAGGCTGCACAAGCTCACCGGCGAGCAGGAGGAGATGATGGTCCGGGAGCCGCAGACCAACAGGCTGTACGGTGTCAAGGTCTACAGCCACGAGGTCCAGAGGATAGCGGACACGCAGCCCTGTCACCGAAACAATGGCGGCTGCCAGAAGATCTGCTTTGCGGTGCCCATCGGAGGCGGAGGAGCTCAGAACTCCAGCTCCGGTGAGATGACCACACCCTCACCCTCATTTGGACGCCTGCAGGCTCGCTGCTCTTGTCCCTATGGCGAGCGTTTGGCCGAGGATCAAGTGAGCTGTATGCCCGATCCCGGGGCCGAACCACCGGTACAGCCCTGCCCCAACTCCTGGGACTTTACCTGCAACAACCAGCGATGCATACCCAAGTCGTGGGTCTGCGATGGGGACGACGATTGCCTGGACAACAGCGACGAGGAGCAGAACTGCACAAGTGAGTAGTCCAGACTAGGCCATAACCGACCTTTAGATAACCTTGAATCTTCCCCAGAACCCACCTGCGGAGCCAACGAATTCCAGTGCCGTTCCGGCCGCTGCATTCCCCAGAACTTCCGCTGCGACCAGGAGAACGACTGCGGCGACAACTCCGATGAGCAGGAGTGCGGCAACGTGACCTGCGGCACCTCCCAGTTCGCCTGCGCCAACGGGCGATGCATACCCAACATGTGGAAGTGCGACAGCGAGAACGATTGCGGCGACGGCAGTGACGAGGGTGACTTTTGTGCGGAGAAGACCTGTGCCTACTTCCAGTTTACGTGTCCCCGGACGGGCCACTGCATCCCCCAGAGCTGGGTGTGCGACGGCGACGACGATTGCTTCGACAAGCAGGACGAGAAGGACTGTCCGCCGATCTCGTGTCTGGCGAATCAGTTCAAGTGCGCCGACCTGAGGCAGTGCGTCGAGGAGTCGTATAAGTGCGACGGGATACCGGACTGCAACGACGGCTCCGACGAACTGGGCTGCCCCTCGATGGGACCCAACCAGTGCAACCTGGAGAAGCACTTCCGCTGCAAGTCCACCGGCTTTTGCATACCCATTGCCTGGCACTGCGACGGCTCCAACGACTGCTCCGATCACTCCGACGAGCAGGAATGCGGCCAGATCACCTGTGCCCAGAACTTCTTCAAGTGCAACAACACCAACTGCGTGTTCAAGGCCTATATCTGCGACGGCAAGGACGATTGTGGCGACAACTCGGACGAGGGTGCCGAGCATGCTTGTGTTCCGCCGCCCTTCAAGTGTCCGCACGGCCAGTGGCAGTGTCCCGGCGTCTCCGAGCGGTGTGTGAACATCACCTCCGTCTGCGACGATACGCCCGATTGTCCCAATGGCTCCGACGAGGGCGAGGGCTGCGACCTGGCCGAGTGCGAGCACCAGGCGGGTCAGTGCTCCAGCTTCTGCCAGAAGACGCCTAATGGGGCGCTGTGCGTCTGCCCGCCGGGCTCGGAGATCGGCGAGGACGGATTCACCTGCATCGATACGAACGAGTGCGATCCACCGGGACTCTGCTCGCAGCAGTGCACCAATACCAAGGGCTCCTACTTCTGCTCCTGCACGGATGGCTACATCCTGGAGCCGAACAAGCACACCTGCAAGGCTGTCAATCACACGGCCGCCTTCCTGATCATCTCCAATCGCCACTCGATCCTGGTGGCCGACCTCAAGGAGCAGGGCCTGGAGCGGGTGCCCATCATTGTGGAGAACGTGGTGGCCACCGCCTCGAATATGCACACGGGCACCATTTTCTGGAGCGACATGAAGCTGAAGAAGATCTCACGCCTGGACAGGGGCATGGAGCCGCAGGAGATCATCAACACGGGCCTGGATCTGGTCGAGGGACTGGCCTACGACTGGATAGCACAGAATCTCTACTGGCTGGACAGCAAGCTGAACACCATCGAGGTGTCGGCGGAGAACGGCTCGAATCGGTTGGTCCTGGTCAGGGAGAACATCACCCAGCCGCGGGGCATGTGCATCGACCCGAGCCCCGGGGCCAGGTGGATCTTCTGGACGGACTGGGGCGAGAATCCGCGAGTGGAGCGCATCGGCATGGACGGCAGCATGCGCAAGACGATCATCAACACGAAGATATACTGGCCCAACGGCCTGACCCTGGACATAGCCACCAAGAGGGTCTACTTTGCGGACTCCAAGCTGGACTTTATTGATTTTTGCTATTACAACGGTACCGGCAGGCAGCAGGTCCTGGCCAGCAGCCATTACCTGCTCCACCCACACTCGCTGTCCCTCTTTGAGGACACCCTCTACTGGACGGACCGGCAGCTGAATCGCGTGCTGTCCGCCAACAAGTTCCGAGGCAAGAACCAGACCGTGGTCTCGCACCTGATAAGCCAGCCGCTGTCCATCCATGTCCACCATGCCTCCCTGCAGCCCATGTCCCCGAATCCCTGCGCCCAGGCCCACTGCCAGCACCTGTGCCTGCTGAGTCCCCAAGCCCCCGAGGGCTACTCCTGCAAGTGCAAGCCCGGCTTCAAGCTGCTGAGCGAGGGTCGCTGCATCGAGGAGGAGAACCCCTTCCTGATGGTGGTCAAGGGCACACAGATTGTGGATCTGCCGCTGAATGGAGGGGATGCCAGAGCCGGAGCCCTGGCCCCGGTGATTGGTATCGAGAGCAGCACTGGCCTGGACTTTGATCGCAAGGGCGAGACCCTGTACTGGGTGCAGGGCAGGGAGGATGACGACGAGAACTGCACCATCTACACGACCCCCTATGGCGGCGGCAACAAGACCCTCTTCCTGGGCATCGACAACGGCATGGTGGGTGCACCCTACACCATTGCCTTCGACTGGCTGGGCAGGAATCTGTACATTGGCAACCGGGTGGCCAGCAACATCGAGGCGGTGCGCGTGGACGGCAAGCAGAAGTACAGGGCCATTATCTTGGCCAACAATGGGTATGCCAACTCCGTGTCCCGGCCCAAGCAGATCGTCCTGGACCCCACCGATGGCAAGCTCTTCTGGATCGACGAGGGCGTGCTGGAGGTGCCGGTGAAAATCGGTCGCGTGGACATGAACGGCAAGAATCCCATAGTGCTCCTCAAGGAGATCTCCCACCCCGAGTCCCTGGTGGTGGACATCGAGAAGAAGCTGCTGTACTACAGTGCCAGCAATCCGGGTCTTATCGGCGTCATGGATTACAATGGGGATGAGCGCACTACGATCACCATGAAGGACTCGCATCCGATGGCCAAGCCCAAGAGTCTGGGCATCCTGGATCACAGGCTCTACTATCTGGATCCCCTGTACGAGCGAATCGTGCGGCTGGACCTGCCGCACGGCGACAACCCGAAGACGATTGTGGACAACGAGGCTGACCTGCGCTCCATGATGATCTACAAGAAGCGGGCCTCGATGCAGCATCCCTGCCAGACGAACAACGGCGGCTGCAAGCACCTCTGCCTGCCGGCCGAGGCTGCCACGAGATCCTGTGCCTGCGGCATTGGCTCCCGCAAGGAAAATGAAGTCAATTGTGTCTCCTACAAGACCTTCGCCGTGGTCTCCCAGCTGGACACGATCCGTGGCTACAGTCTCAGCGACAGCACCGAGGCCATGGTGCCCGTTAGCGGGCCAGGACACCACATTCTGCACGTGGACGTGATGTTCCGTGAGCAATGGATCTACTGGGCGGAGTACAATCGAGGCTATTGGAACGGCATCTTCAGGTCGCGACCCAATGGCACCGATATCCAGCACGTGGTCAAGGATGGCATCGGCAGCAACGGCATCCGGGGACTAACCATCGATTGGGTGGCGGGCAACATGTACTTCACCAACGTCTATCCGCACGAGAACTACGTGGAGGTCTGCTGGATGGATGGCAGCAACAGGAAAGTTTTGGTGAAGACCACCACCGATGCACCGCGCGAGCTGGCCGTGGATCCCATCAAGAGGCTGCTCTACTGGATCGACTACGGGCAGCATCCGAGGATTGGCAAGGCCCTGCTCGATGGCAGCAAGTGGACCCCGCTGGTCACCTCGGGCATTTCGATGCCCAAGGATCTCACCATTGACATGCAGACCCACGACATCTTCTGGGTCGACTCCAAGCTGGACACCATCCAGAAGATCTCGTACAATGGGCTCAATCGCAAGGTCATCCGTCGGGATCTGCCCAATCCCATGGGCATTGCCATCTATCTGAACGATGTCTACTGGGTGGACAGGAACCTGATGACGGTCTTTAAGGCCTCCAAGCTGAATGCCAACGAGTCGGCGGTGCGTGTGAGGACGAACCTGGAGAAGCTGCGCGACATTGCCATCTACAACATCAACAATCAGCCACAGGACGATGCCAATCCCTGTGCCCATCTCGGCAACGGTGGCTGTGACCAGCTGTGCTTCAGCTTCCCGCCGGAGGGCGGGGCCACCGGTCCCTCGGGCAGGAGCTTCCGCTGTGACTGCGCCACCGGAAAGCTGAGCGCCGACGAACGGAAGTGCGAGACGGTGAACGAGTATCTGGTGTTTGCCACCAGAACCGAGATCCGGGCTGTTAACCTCGATCCCCACTCCACGGAGGTGCCCTTCACGCCGCTCACGAACCTCACGAATGTCGTGGGCCTGGACTTTGACTTTGCCGACAACCGGATGCTGTACACCCAGATCCGTCCCTGGGCCAAGATCGCCTACACGAAGGCCAACAAGCCCAGCCACGACGACATCAACGTGGTGCTCAACAAGGGGATCAATCCCGAGGGCATTGCCTACGACTGGACCCAGCGGAAGATCTACTGGACGGACAGCTCGAACAACTCGATCTACGCGATGAATCTCGACGGCAGTGAGCTGGTAATGATTGCCCGCGTGGAGCGGCCGCGTGCCATTGTCCTCGATCCCTGCAACGGCACCCTGTTCTTCACGGATTGGGGTAGATTCGGTACCTCGGGTAAGATATTCCGCACCACCATGGCCGGCTCCCAGAAGCGGGCCATTGTGGACAAGGATCTGTCGCAGCCCAGTGGCCTGGCCATTGACTATGACGAGCGACGCCTGTACTGGACGGACGCGGTGCGGGAGAAGATCGAGCGTTCCGACTTGGATGGCCAGAACAGGGAGCTTCTGGTGGCAGCCACCATATATCCCTTTGCCATAACCGTGTTCCGGAACTACATCTACTGGACGGATCTCCAGCTGCGCGGCGTTTATCGGGCCGAGAAGCACACGGGCGCCAATATGGTGGAGATGGTCAAGCGGCTGGAGGACTCGCCGCGCGACATTCGCATCTACAGTGCCGATCGGCAGAAGTGCAATGTGAATCCCTGCCGGATCAACAACGGTGGCTGCGCCCAGAGCTGTCACCCGGCGCCCAATGGCAAGGCGGAGTGCAAATGCGATGACAACACCAAGGTGGTGAACGAGGGCAGGATGTGCGCCCCAAGGAACAACACCTGCGAGGCCAGCAAGTTCTACTGCAAGAACGGCAGATGCATCTCGAGGATGTGGTCCTGCGACGGCGACGACGACTGCGGCGACAATTCGGACGAGGACGCCAACTACTGTGCCTATCACTCCTGCTCCCCGAACGAATTCCGCTGCAATAACGGACGCTGCATCTTCAAGTCCTGGAAGTGCGACCACGAGAATGACTGCAAGGATGGCTCCGACGAGCTGGGCTGCACCTATCCGCCCTGCGTGGACGGTGAGTTTACCTGCGGCAACGGGCGCTGCATACCGCAGGCTCAGGTCTGCAACGGCGTCAACGATTGCAAGGACAATGCCACCTCGGACGAGACCCATGAGCGGTGCCCCATGAACACCACCTGTCCGGCGAATCACCTCAAGTGCGAGAAGACCAACATCTGTGTGGAGCCCTACTGGCTCTGCGACGGCGACAACGATTGTGGCGACAACTCGGACGAGGATCCGCTGCACTGCGGCCAGAGGACCTGCCCCACCAACAGCTTCCGCTGCCCGAATCATCGCTGCATCCCGGCCACCTGGTACTGCGACGGCGACGATGACTGCGGCGATGGAGCGGACGAGCCGCCAGATTACTGCAAGTCCGAGGGTCGCACCTGCTTTGGGGATCTGTTCACCTGCGACAATGGCAACTGCATTCCCAGGATCTACATCTGTGACGGGGACAACGATTGCCTGGACAACAGTGACGAGGACAACAGGCACCAGTGCAGTAAGTCCTTTCTCTCTCTCTAGGAGGAAGTCAAGTCCTCTTATTCGTTCCGTTCCCTCTTTCCCCCAGACGATCGCAAGTGCGACGAGGAGACCGAGTTCACGTGCGTGGAAAACAAGTCCTGGCAACGTGCCCAGTGCATACCCAAGAAGTGGATCTGCGACGGCGATCCGGATTGCGTGGATGGAGCCGATGAGAACACCACCCTGCACAACTGTGCCACCCAGCAGCCGTGCGGCGAGGACATGTTCACCTGCGGCAACGGGCGATGCATCAATAAGGTAGGTCCTTAACAACCCCCTTAGCAAGGAGTGCCTTAAGAAGGGGCGGAAGTACTTTAAACGCTCTAAATTAGAACATTTTTTTCGTTTGTGTATCCCCCTTAAGAGCGAATATTTATCTCCTTTCAGGGCTGGATCTGTGACCATGACAACGACTGCGGCGATGGCACCGACGAGGGCAAGTTCTGCAACTCCAAGTACAAGACCTGCTCGCCGCAGGAGTTCACCTGCCAGAACTTCAAGTGCATCCGCAATCAGTCGCGCTGCGATGGCGAGGACGACTGCGGCGATCACTCGGACGAGGTGGGCTGCGTCAAGGATAATGTGACCTGTCCGCAGGGTCAGTTTGCCTGCACCAATGGCCAGTGCATTGACTACAGCCTCGTGTGCAACAAGTATCCGGACTGCGCGGATGAATCCGATGAGCCGGCCCACTGCAATGTGGATGAGTGCGCCAAGGTGGAGATCAATCAGTGCGGCCACAAGTGCGTGGACACCCTGACGAGCTACTACTGTGACTGCAATGAAGGATACAAGTGAGTGTTGAGTCCTTCCTCAATCTGTGCTCATTGTAAACTAGGGTTGGGAAAATATGTCCAAAAAATCGTATCATTTTTAAGCAAAAATATATATAATTTTTTAGATGGTTTATACATTTTTAGATAATTATCAAATTGATGAAATATTTATCATCCAAAAAATATCAATACTATATCGAGTATTTTTAATTTCAAAACATCCCTATTCTAAACTAATCCAATCCAAACATCCTTCCAGACTCCTGGCCGATGGCAAGGCTTGTGCGGATGTGGACGAGTGCCTGGAGCAGCCTGGCGCCTGCTCCCAACACTGCTCCAACACGCCCGGCGGCTTCTACTGCAAGTGCGATGAGACCTACTACGAGCGGCAGAACGACGAGCACACGTGCAAGCGCAAGGACAACATCCCGCCGTGGCTGATATTCACCAACAAGTACTATGTGCGCAACATGTCGGTGGACGGACACCAGTACAACCTGATGCACCAGGACCTCATGAACGTGGTGGCCCTGGACTTTGACATACGCGAGGAGTACATGTACTTCTGCGACGTCACGGCCAAGACCATCTTCAGGGCCAAGTACGGAGAGCCGGACGACGAGACCCCGCCGGAGAGGGAGGCGGTCATTAGGCACGATTCCCATGGCCTGGAGGGCATTGCCATCGACTGGGTGGGACGCAAGCTCTACTGGCTGGACAGGCACTCCAAGAACCTGGACGTCTCCGAGCTGGATGGCACCAAGCGCAAGACCCTGAGGAGCGGCGTTGTGGATCCCCGTGCCATAGTCGTTCACCCGGGCATTGGCTACCTGTACTTCACCTCCTGGCACCTGCAGGCGTACATTGCCAAGATGGGCATGGATGGCTCCAACTTCACCAGGATCCTCAACTGGAACGACGACATTGCCTGGCCCAATGCCTTGTCGATTGACTACTTCACGGATCGCATTTACTGGGCCGACGCCCACTTGGACTACATAGCCTACGCGGATCTGGAGGGCAGGCACCGGCACATCGTGCTGTCCGGCAGCAAGGTGCCGCACGTGTTCGCCCTCAGCCTGTTCGACGACTACATCTACTGGAGCGACTGGAACCTGAAGGCCATTGTGCGGGCCAACAAGTTCCATGGCGCCAACTACACCGTCCTGAGGAACACCACCCACCGACCCTATGACCTGCACATCAATCACCCGCTGCGGCAGCTGCCGTACACGAATCCCTGCGGCAAGAACAACGGCGGCTGCTCCCATCTCTGCCTGATAGCTCCGCCGCCGGAGTCCACCTACCTGAACATCGAGGGCTACATCGAGGAGGGGGCGCCCATCTACAAGTGCGCCTGCCCCAATCAGTTCTATCTGGCCAGGGACATGAAGACCTGCGTGGCCAACTGCACGGCTGGCCAGCACTTGTGCGGCGGCCGGGACGAGAAGTGCATACCTTGGTTCTGGAAGTGCGATGGCGAAAAGGACTGCAAGGACGGTAGCGATGAGCCGGCCACCTGTGCCCCGCGACACTGCCGTGCCGGAACCTTCCAGTGCAAGAATACCAACTGCACGCCCTCGGCCACGATCTGCGACGGTGTCGACGACTGCGGCGATCGCAGCGACGAGCAAAACTGCGACCTGCCCTGTCCCCTGTCCGACTTCAAGTGCAAGTCCAGCGGTCGCTGCATCCTGGACAGCTGGCGATGCGATGGCGATGCTGACTGCAAGGATGGCAGCGACGAAGACCCTGCCGTTTGCTGTAAGTATCAAAGGAAGAGAGTTCGAAGTAAGTCTTGTGTATTAATCCCTTTATCCTGGCAACAGTCAAGCGAACCTGCGACCCCAAGACCGAGTTCGCCTGCAAGAACGGACGCTGCATTCCGCAGCTGTGGATGTGCGACTTTGACAACGACTGCGGCGACGATTCCGATGAGCCGGCGTACATGTGCCGGCAGAGAAACTGCACCACCGGCTGGCAGCGCTGTCCCGGTCAGTCCAACTACAGGTGCATACCCAAGTGGCTGTTCTGCGACGGCAAGGATGACTGCCGGGACAACAGCGACGAGCTGCCGGAGAACTGTCCCAAGTGCAATCCCGAAACGGACTTTAAGTGCGGCAACAACCGATGCATACCCAAGTGAGTGGTGACCCTAAAACCCAAGTACATATTTCCCCTAACCCAAACCCTTATTTCCAGGCAATGGATGTGCGACTTTGCGGATGATTGTGGCGATGCCAGCGACGAGAACGAGGCTGTGTGCAAGGGTCGCTACCGCGACTGCTCGGAGTCCGAGTTCCGGTGCGGCAACGGCAAGTGCATCTCCTCCCGCTGGCAGTGCGACCACGAGGACGACTGCGGGGACAACTCCGACGAGATGCACTGCGAGGGCTATCAGTGCAAGAATGGCACCTTCCAGTGCGCCTCCGGGCACTGCATTGCCTCCTACTTCCGCTGCGACGGCGACCGAGACTGCCGCGACATGTCCGACGAGGTCGGCTGTCCGCCGCGCTTCCCAGGCGGCCGCTATTGCCCCGAGTCGCGTTTCCAGTGCCACAACAACCTGTGCGTTTCCCTGTCCGATCTGTGCGACGGCACCGACGACTGCGGCGACGGCAGCGACGAGGATCCCAGCGTCTGCAGCGACTTTAATTGTGACACTTTGAGACGCTTCCAATGCTCCAACCACCGCTGCGTGGCCCGATACCAGATCTGCGACGGGGTGGACAACTGCGGCGACGGCAGCGACGAGAACAACATGACCCTGTGCGCCAGCAAGCAGAAGCCCTGCGACCTCTACACCCAGTACCAGTGCGCCAACAAGCACTGCATCGAGCGCTCCCAGGTGTGCGACTATGCGGACGACTGCGGCGACGGCAGCGACGAGCTGGGCTGCCACCACACCAGCAGCTGCTCGGAGCAGACGCGCGGCGGCTGCCAGCACCATTGCCACAACCTCACCGACGGCGGCTACATCTGCACCTGCTACCCGGGCTACATCATAGCGGCGGACAACAAGAAGAAGTGCTCCGACGTGGACGAGTGCCTCACGCGACAGCACACCTGCTCGCATCAGTGCCACAACCTGAACGGTACCTATTCGTGCAGCTGCCGGGAGGGATTCCACCTGACCGACGGCGCCAGCGGTGTGTGCCGCGCCGAGAAGGAGGATGTCATTCTTGTGTTCGCCAACGGGCAGGAGATCCGGGGCCTGGACCTTCAAAAGCGCGAGGAGTTCGAGGTGATTGCCGCCGAGAAGAGGATCGAGGCCCTGGACTACGATGCCCAGCAGCAGATCGTCTTCTGGGCGGACAGCTACGACAAGACCATCAAGCGCTCGTACATGGTCAATGCCATCGATGGCCGGGCCAAGATCGGCTTTGCCCAGGACCTGAACATGAAGGGCGGCTCCAAGCCCACGGCCGTTGCCGTCGACTGGCTGGCCTCGAATCTCTACTGGACGGAGATGGACAGGACGGGCTCCAAGCCGCGCGGTCGCGTGATGGTGGCCAAGACCGACGGCAGGTACCGTCGGTCTATAGTCAACGCCGGCCTGGAGGTGCCCACCTCGATAGCCGTGAATCCGCAGCTGGGCAGGATCTACTGGTCCGATGCCGGCTCCGCGCCCAAGATCGAGGTCTCCTGGATGGATGGCTCGAAGCGCAGGCCCCTGATCACCGAACAGATCCGCCATCCGGCGGGTCTGACCATCGACTACTCGCAAGATCACATCATCTACTGGGTGGACACCAAACTGAATGCCATCGAGTCGATGCGAGCGGACGGGTCCCGGCGCAAGGCCATCGTCAAGGGCGACCAGCTGCGGCATCCCGTCTCCCTGGACCTGTTCGAGTCGAACATGTTCTGGATGACCCGCGACACCGGGGAGCTGGTGCGCCAGGACAAGTTCGGGCGCGGAGTGCAGGTGGTGCTGCATCGCAACCTCGTCAATCCGTCCGGCCTGAAGGTGTACCACGACAAGCGGTACAATACCTCGCTGCCCAATCCCTGCGACAACTCCACCTGCTCCCACCTGTGCCTCCTCGTCCCCGGCGGCCATCGTTGCGCCTGTCCCGATGCCTCTGGACCGCCGCCCTCGCACCGCAGTACCGCTGAGGTTATCTGCAATGCCGCCGCCGAGCATCCGCGTCCGGCGCCAAGGATCTGTCCCTGCCAGAACGGTGGCCTCTGCAAGGAGGACGCCCAGGGCGAGCTCATCTGCGACTGCATGTCCGAGTTCCGCGGCGAGCACTGCGAGACGAGCACCACCGGGGCCTTTGGCCACGGCGGAGCGAATGTCACCGCCGTGGTGGTGCCCATCATGGTCATCCTGCTGGTAATGATGGCCGCCGCCGGGGCGTGGTACGTCATCCGCAAGCGACCATTGTGAGTATCTCTTGAAATCTGCAGGAGAAATCTCATTATTAATCGTGTTTTGCCTTTGCAGCGGCAAACTGGCTCGCATGCCGGCCATGACCTCCTCGCAGAGCGTCACCTTCCGCCATGGCTCGAATGTGGAGTTCAGCGAGAGCGGCTTCCCAGGAGCCTCTGCCCCAGGCGCAGGCGATGTGGCGCCCATTGAGGGCTACAACCTGCAGACGGTGAACGCGAACAAGGCGCGCGACTTTGCCAATCCCATGTACGATGCCGTTCAGTCGGGCACCACCGCTGATCCGGGCATGGGCAATGGTTCGGGTAAGTCTGGAGTTGGAGTAGGGGGATTCCCCTTGGCCTTAACTAACTAATCCCCTTTTGCCGCAGGCATCTATGATGTTCCGGGTGAACCCTCCGCCAAGGGAAAGGCCATGGGCCACCATGCCAGCGGTTCCTTCACGGAGCCCGCCTCGGCCATCATTGCACCCAGCAGCATTACGCACAAGGCGTCGCCGCAGCTGCAGCTGCGCACCAGGGAGCTGGACCCCTCGGCGGACACCGGCAAGGACACACAGTTCCTGGTGGAGGAGGACAAGTCCGAGTGCTGATATCAAGCCCATCACTCGGCTGCCGTTGCGGTGGCGGTTGCGGTGGCCAGCTGTCGCCGCCAGCTGTCGACCGCGGAGCCCAAGAACAGCTATCCCCTGCAGACATAACAAAGGATAATCAGGCAAAGGAAGGAGCCGCCGACGCAGACGGAGCCGGAGCATCATCACCAAGGACGCCCTAGTAGTAAACATCACAAATCCTGGCAGGCGGCCAAGGCCACCACCAAGGTCTAGGAGGAGGAGGAGGAGAAGGAGAAGAAAGAGGTCCTCGGGGGGAGGGGACGGCAAATACACATATCCAAAAGAAAAAAAAAAAAAAAAAAAGAAACGAGATGGGCGGCAGAACCAGCAGAAGAAGCGTTGCAATTATTATTAAATAAAAGTGAAAAAACAAAAACTAAAAGGTAAAACTAAATATAAATGTACACAACACTAGGAGCAGGTTTATCAGACTCCACACACACACACACACACACACACACACACACAGCCACTTTTGTAAAGCCAACTTTTTGTGAACTACTGTTTTTTCCCCTATTTTTTTTCGAGTGTGTAATGTTATTTTGCGACAAAAACAAAACAAAAAGCTGAGAAAAATTGTAAAAAGCAAAAACGAAACAAAATTAAGGCATAGAGTATATATTTTTTTGAAAGCTAAATGACAATATTAACTATATATAAATGTGTGTAAATTGGAAACGAAAGGCAACAAGAGTATATATGTATATGTGTGTATATGTATATGTATATGTATATGTATACAAGGGCAACTAAGAAGGAGACACATTCCAAGCTAGGATTTCTATATATATATTTTTCTAAAAAATAAAACAAACAAGACAAAAAACACAAGAAGCGAGCTAACATTTTATATTTACAACAAATTATAATAAATTATAAATGTGCAGCAACACTTTTGTGCTAAAAACCAGGATCGAATCGGATCGAAAGGAAATAAGCATTCCCACACACACACACACACACACACACACACCTCTCTATCGATCTATTTATATTAATTAATTTAATTATTTATTCAACACACACACGCACACGCAGGCTAATTTTATTGAGATTTTAAAATTGCTTTTCCATCCAGAAAAATTACTAATGAAAATTTAATAGAAGGAAAGCGTAGCTTTTCCTCTCTCCTGTCTCGTTCATTGCAATCTCCTTTTCAAATACTTTTTATCCTTTTTCGTACTGTGTGTGTAGTTGTTAAAAAAGAACGGAAAAGAAACGTGTTTTTTTTTTTTACACATCAATCTATATATAAATATATTTTATTTTTTAATTATATCATTATGATTTCTATATATATATATGTAAACCTTTCTCGCCGAAAGTCGAGTCGAAATGTGTGTGCATTTTTTTACATAATTTTTTCGTTTTTTTGTGCAAAAAAATCTGTGCTTCCCTCTTCATTTAAGCGTGTGTTTTTAGCATAAATTTTAGTGAAAGAAAGAGAGATGAGAGGAAGGAAGGAAGGAAACTAAAGCTGTATTCGCCAATCGGGCCATATACAACGCTATATATGTGAAGTTAATTGTATATTTAATGTCAAGCTACATAATGGATAACGAATGAAGGAAGGAAACCACAACATATAAGAGTAAAACGCGAATCGAAGTGACGGAGAAGAAGAGAAACTATTTGTTGAAAGAATAAAACTTTTTTTTATTATTATTATACATATATACTGGGGGAAAATTGTAAGATGATGAAAAACTAAAAACATTCATAATAAAGAAAAATCATTACAAAAAAAAATCGATATAAAGCAGATAATATTATTTATATATAGACATAAAAGTAAGTATTAAATATTTCAATTAATAAATGGTTAATTATACCCTTGCAGAGTATTCTACCTATATTTTCTAAAAAATTTAATCAAAAAATGGCGGAAAACCTCAAACTCGGCCAAAAATGCAAAGAACTGTGTAATTTGTATTTCAAATGAAGTGCCTTTCTAGAGATGGCCGAAAGAAATAACGGGGGAAGAGGCAACAAAGCAATTGCCATACGGTTGCGCATGCGTCCGTGTGATCGAAATCGAGCGGCGGGAATTTTAAAAGGGATGTGCAGCTTCGGGTTGCCACTGTTTTATTATCGCCCCATTCTATGCGGCAAAGTCAGGCCAAGTCCAAGTCCTAGTATCCTTATACCCTTGCAGGGTATTTTATTTCCAGTCCGAAGCTTGTAACGCATTGAAGGAGTCATTTCCGACCCCATAAACCATATATATTCTTGATCAGCATTAACAGGCGCATCTTTCTGGCCATGTCCGGCAAAAAAAATTGTTGATCAATTTTTTCAAAATTTTATAAGGGGTTACATCATTATTACATCATTAAAATTCTCAAAATTTGATAAAATTTTTTAATTTCTAACTAAGTATGCAGATTTGTTAACCTTATAAAAACTAACATAACACCGCTTTCCGAATGCAAATTAAGGCATTTTTGACAGAGTTATGCCGTTTTTAGTTATTAATTTGCTATTTTTCTCTGTTGAATTACAGACTTTCCATCGTCATTGCCATCGCCATCGCTCCTAGTCATCAGTACCACCCACCCCGGCCAAGAACCAAGGGAAAGGACCAACGACACAGCGATCCGCGAAGCACAAGTTCATCCTAGTCATCATTGTAATTGTTGATTGATGATCATCGGATCGGCAGAGGTGAAGCTGGAGGAGCAAGCAGATGGGATGGCGGAGCTCAAGCGGATGGCAGTGGTCGGATCTTGGCTCCGGGCTAGTTGAAGACCAGCAGGCGTAAAGTATTGGAATATTTATAACTACATTTTAAATGTGTAAATGTAATTGATGGAACATACAAATTTGAATCAATAAAAAAATGGAAATCAATGTGGAATTGTGTGGTTCAAGCGGCATTTATTTGGGGGCCTTGGGATTGTATGGGGAAACATCTGTTGAAAGCCAAATCTAATTTTTTTTCTGATTTTTTAAAATAATTTTTTGAATTTTTAAATATTTTCTGAATTTTTAACATTTTTTTAAAGACTTTTTATATTTTTTTTAGAATTTTTTACATTTTTTTAAATATTTTAACTGCCAAATTTGAATTTGAATTTAACTGCCAAATTTGAATTTGAATTTAACGACGATCAGTTTCAGTGTGCCCAGGTGCAGTTGTAAAATAACACCTAAATTTGGATTTAAAAGGTTTGAGTCCCCGCTAACTTGCGCCGGCTCCTAAATGGTTTGAAACTTGGACTTTTTATAACAGTTTATACCAGTTTTCAGTTGCTTGTTGCTGATTTCTGTTCGCCTGTTACCCCAATTTGGGAAACGGGCAATTTGCATGGAAATGTTCGGAAATTTGGATGGGCTGCTGTAGGGATGTTGTTGTAAAAAGGTTGTTGCCATCAAGCTGTTGTTGTCGGCAACAAATAGGTATAAATGCATAAAATGAAATATAACAGTTTATACCAATTATTATTTTTGCCCAAAAGTTTTTATAACAGTTTATACCAGTTTTCAGCTGCTTGCTGCTGATTTCTGTTCGCCTGTTACCCCAATTTGGGAAACGGCCAAATTGAATGAAAAATTTTGCTCACTTGCATCAGTGATGCTCATGTGCATCAGTGATGCATTTTTTTTTTGCATTATTGGTAGAAAATGGCTTCTCACTAGCTGCCAGTGATGCTCATCTAGCTATTTTGCCAATGATGCTCATCTAGATATTTTGCATTATTGGGACAAAATGGCATCACACTAACTGCCAGTGATGCTCATCTAGCTATTTTGCATTATTGGGAGAAAAAGGCATCTCACTAACTGCCAGTGATGCTCATCTAGCTATTTGTCATTATTGGCGAAAAATGGCACCTCACTAACTACCAGTGAAGCTCATCTAGCTATTTTGCATTAGTGGGACTAAATGGAGTCTTACTAACTGCCAGTGATGCTGATTTGGCTAGGATGCTCCATTGGGACAAAATGGCATCTCACCAACTGCCAGTGATGCTCATCTAGCTATTTTGCAATATTTGTATTTGATGTTTGTTTCATTTGCCACCGCAAGAATACCCTTCTATTGAGCTTTTTCAAATTAGCCCACCCAAAAAAAAAACCGCATCCTTCTCATAACTTAAAAATAACACAATTTTTAAGGTTTATTATTTATTTCAGCTTTAAATAAATAAAAGAAAACAAAGGCATGTGTGAGTGCCGGAGGTCGTTCCCAGTGGTTTCGGTTTTCTTGGTGGCACCCTCGTCGTGGTGCCCCAGCTTCTGGGCGCTTCTGCTCCTCCTCGTCCTGATCCTCCTTGCCAACGCTCTCTGTCTCGCCATCGGCATCCACTTTCAGTTCCTGGCAGCTTGCTGCAATTAAATTTAAAAAAAGGGTGAGATTTATTTTGATAATTTTTGGAAAAAACCTAATTTTCAAAGGTTCATAACTCAGCCAAAAATGAATGAAATTTAATTTGGAAAGCTGTTCCGAGTTCGTTTTTCTAAGCTTAAGCTTAAGCTGCTTACTCAGTTTTACTGAAATACTTACCTGTAATTTTTAACTAATTAAAAAAAAAGTTTTACTTACGGTCACAAACGGCCAGGTGCGTGTTAAGTGCCCATTCAACCTCCTAATATTCCCCTTAATCCTAATGTTAATGTAACAATTTCCAACAATTACAATTACAACTGTGCCATTGCTTACTTTTTTAATAGAAAAACAAATGTATCTGATTAGAAATCGTACACAACAATTATTATCCTTTAGGATTTACGGGACGGCACTGGAACACACTCCTCTAGCCGAATAAATTTCGAGAAAGTTTTTCATTTATGTTGCCACTTAGTGGGAGGATTTCGTGGAAATATGAATCTCCATCTGATATGGGATTTTCTTGGCATTCATTGGAATTTTTTAAATTTTATGTTTGGCAGTCCTGGCATCACAAATCCCATTTTTTACTGCTTTGAGCCAGTTTTACGAAGAGCTTCGTTGAATATTCCAAAAGACCACTCCGATTGCTTTTGGTCTTCGATCTTCTTTGCGGATTCAGGATTTGGCAATTTGAGAGAGGGAATAACCTTTATCCCGGCATCTTTGCCTTTTGGTTGGACATAAAGTTTTTTAGGTGTTTGTTCCTTTGGCATCTCCACAAGGGAAGTTACTTTCTTCGGCATTTCAACAAGGCTCTTGTTGGCGGTCAGGGTTTTCATGAAATCGACGCCAGTTTTCTACAGAAGAATATATAGTTCTTAAAAAGTAGGCACTGAGCACAACGTTAGACGAAAAAAGAACTAACATCCAGAATCTCGAATCTAATAGAATTCAAAGAAAAGCAAATGGTTTCCCTCTCTTAAGAAGGATTCTTTCCACATTTATGGATTTCTTTCACTATTTGCCTGCACTGTACAAGCAAAGCGGCAACCTCAGCTTGTTAGAGTGATTATTCATTCATTCGAGAGGGTATCTTCTGCTAAAAGTCGAAACACTTACGCGAAGAGCCTTCAGCAGAGTCCCGGCAGTATCTGTTATAGTCAAGTCTCTGGGCACAAGTCGAGAGATCCCCTTAAATGCGCCTATCCACTGTTGAAATATATTCTTCGCCATGGCCAAAAGAGATTTTTGATGTAATTTTGAAATTTTCTTTTAGAAAATACTGGTTATGTAAATACAAAAAAATAATAACAATAATAATAATGTTATATGTGTGTGTTGTTTTCGTTAGCTAGACACGTTTTATACTGAGCCAGAAACTCCAGGGCAGGGCTACACGACTTTGACAGTTTCATTTGTTTGAATCCATGGACTACTAGAGCGATAAATGAATGGATATTCTCTTTGATAAATTGGATAAAAATAAAATATATATATTAAATGAAAATAAAATGAAATATTTTTGTAACACATCAAAGTTTTCGATATTTTCTTTACATCAAACTTAATCACCTTCAATTTCTCACCGTGCATGGATACCCTCCTGACCCACCCACCACCCACCACCCACTGAGCGAGCACCTCCTGTTGTCTGTTGGTTGGATTTATTTAAAACTAACTGCAAATTAGCTAACAACAAACACGTGCATGGCATGGCGATAATTGGTTAAATCGTACATCTGGCCACGGGGATAGAGATAACAAGTCGTGCCAGATATATACAACATATATCAGATCGAGAAACGAGTCGAACAGTTTAACGCTAACATATATATCGAAATGCAATTGGTGGGAACCGGATCCAGTGGAGTCCGTCTCATTTCGGGCTAGTGGTTGAACATTTGTCTTTGGGGGCGTAAATACATATACATAAATATATATATATAGATAGAGAGAGAGAGTACACATAGAGTCCTGGTCCCGTCTCCTGTTGCACAATTCCTTCCTTCCTTCGACAAGTTCATCCTTCGGGTGAATGTGTGCTTCCAACGGGACCAGGTAAAGAGAGAGTACGTAATCCTATGGGGTAGATTGATTTGAGTTCCTCTGCGCCGCGAGAAACAACCTGATCCGCAGCTTTGAGCTATTCACAATGTTTCAGGTCCCGCCGACCGACGACGACTAATCCGCCGGATAGCCAAAGCTCAGGTGTAGGTTGCACCAGCGACGATGCTTGGCGCCCAGAGCAGACTCCTCCCGCCGCACGGCGGCCAGAAAGGGATGCGTCTCAAAGTCCAGCTGTCTCAAATGTCGATGCACATCTTCCGTCGCGGCTGGATGTGCCGCTAGCAAGCCGCCTGCCTCGAGGCGGACGCACTGCTCCACAATGAACTTGAGCGCGGCCCGGCGATGCAGCTCAAAGCAATCCCTTTGCCCATACATGGCCTTTTGCTCCTCGCACAGCCGCATATCGCTGGCGGCCACATTGCAGCAGTAGAGAAAGGAGCGTAGCCTCTGGCTGCTTACCGCACTGCGATCCATTCCGGGCAGCAGCAGGTCCAGCATGTCCTCCGCCCTGTCCGCCCCCCTCAGGCCATAGTTGGTCAGCAGCTGCTGGAGACTGGCCAAGGGAGAGGGGCAATTGGGACCCGGGTCGGTGGGCAGGGCGAAGCAGAGCTCGTAGGCGCGTCCGAGTAGCACCTGGCGATAGTGATAGCAACTGTAGTCGCTGATGTGCTTCCGCATAAACTTTTCCGTCCGCAGGAGCTCCGATTGCAGCAGGCAGGGGCCGCTCTGCAGGATCCACTGACGGTGCGACCAGGCATGGTAATTGCTGGCACAGCGATCGGCCGCCCGCTCGCAGATCCCAATCTCGTTGGGCCAGTCAATGGCATCGGCGCCTACAATGGGAATTTCGATTAATTACCTCCTAGTTCCTTCATGTCCAGCCACTTACTTTGAAAGGAGTACAGCCAGCGGCGATAGGCGAACGCCTCGTTGGACTTGGGCTTGATGGAGAGCACCAGGGCGGAGAACTGCAGCTCCTTATTGATGCTCAGCCGGTTCTTTTGCACCAGCTGGCGGCGGATGTGCCAGAAAGTGGTCACATCGGGATTGATTAGCAGCGCCACGTTCAGGTACTTGGCCAGAATGTCGCTCTGCTGCTGCTGCTGGAGCGTTCGCAGCTGCTGCTGCGACGACTGACGCCGGTGCGAGATGAGGGTGCGATGGGCATGATCGTAGACATGCTGGGCACACCACGACTCCAGGCCCAGATTGTGCTCAACATGCACCACCGGCGATTTGTTGCAATTGGTCTCCTTGGGAATAATCTCGAAGGAAGCGCTGTGGAAGGGTAAATAAACATTAGTTGGGATAGAATCGAAAGTATTTAAGCCTGATCTTATCCAGAAATCAAGAAACGATCATGAATACTGGCCACACTTCCAGATTGGTTATTTTCGTTTGGATTCCTTGAGGTTTAACCGGAATATATACGGAAATTTCTAGGATTCACTTACAGATCCTGATCCTTGAGAAACACCGCATTGATATCCTGTATGATCTTCTCGCAGAGCACCTTCTTCTCGTTGCGTTCCTCCTCCATGGCTACCACGCCTAGACTAACTGCTCTTCCGATGCGGACTCCACGGGATCGCTTCCGTTCGCGTTCGATTCGAGCGAGGGCTTCAGGCACATTGATTGCTTCCAATTAACATATTAACATGCTCAATTCTTTAGCGTCGCTTTGCTCCTCCGGTTAATTAATATTGGGGGGGCGTGGCAAGGGCGGCAGCAACGATGAAGGTTGACGGGGGACTATGGACCATGGACTACAACTACGGTCTACGACTACACTCTACGGTCTGGCCCCCAGTGGCAGCCGCATCTCACAACAAATAAATTTCAATTAAAAGCGAATTTGTTATTGTTATTGCCGGGCGGCGTTGGCGGCGGCGGTGGGCACGCGAGATCTCAACCCGAACGGGAATGTCCAGGCCCCAACTATTATTACGCGACGGAGGCGGTCACTTGGTCGCTTCTCTGCTCCCCGTCTGCCTCTCCCCTTCTCACGCCCCAAAGTGCGGTTTCCAGCAGATCACGGCAATTCGCTTTGCAATTTGGGGAAATGTGTTTCTATTTTTTCTGCGAGCATATGTGCCGTGTGCTTGTTTCTATTATTTTTGTTGTTGCAAACATGTGTTTGATTGTGTACACGCAGCACCGTCCGCCTATCGATACCGCGGCCTATCAGTTAAGAAGTAGGCAGTTATCGATAATCGATAACTCTTGAGGCGCAACGGATTTGCTATATCTAGTTTATTTTTTTTGTTGGAACACGTGCGCGCCAAGTGAGGAACAAGCGGTCACTGGACAAGCAATAGCAATTACCGGACAACTACCCACAGCCAGGATGAACACCAACAACTTCCTCCCACTGAACATACGAAGGCTCCAGCAGCGGGCGCACGTGGAGACCCCGGACACAGTCTACTGGGAGCGCCTGGCGGTACGAAGAACAAGAAGAAGCTACGGAAAATATCTATGATCACTTTTCTATATATTTAAACCCATTCAGAAACCGGAACAGCTTAAGGAGCACAACACCATCGACTACGTGGACTTCAGTCCCAGCGAGCCAGACAACTTTGTGGTGACCTGCTCGGTGCGCGTGCAAATCTACAATTTGGTGACCAAACTGGTGGTGAAGAATCTCTCGAGGTTTCAAAAGACCGCCTATGGAGCCACATTTAGGCAGGATGGCCGACTGCTAGCCGCCGGCGACGAAGAGGGTCATGTTAAGCTCTTCGACACCACCAACCGGAGTATCCTGCGCCTCTTCAAGGGACACACAGCGCCGGTGCATCGAACCTTCTTCACGGCGGATAAACAGCAACTGGCTAGCTTTGGCGATGACAAGACGGTGCGAATGTGGGATGTGGCCAACGAGAAGGTGGTACAGACATACGAGGATTCGCACACGGACTACATCCGGGCAGGTGCCATGCATCCGCAGGCGGGGTACATGTTCGTTTCCGGCGGCTACGACGGCAAGATCAATCTGTACGATACGCGACAGGAGACGGCAGTGGTGCGCACCCTGAATCACGGGGCTCCCGTGGAGTCCATGCTCTTCCTGCCCAATGGAGGGATCTTTGTCAGCGCCGGCGGCACCCAGGTGCGCGTGTGGGACATGATCAGCGGCTGCCGGCTGCTGACAATGATGTCGCAGCACCACAAGACTGTCACCTGCCTGCGTCTGGGATCTGATGGTCGGCGCTTGTTCTCCGGCGGATTGGATCGGCACGTAAAGATCTACGATGTGAGCACGTACAAGACGGTACACACACTGAACTATCCGAATGCCGTTGTCAGCCTGGCCGTGTCGTCCGGGGATCAGGCTGTCATAGCCGGCATGGTCGATGGATTGATCTCGATTCGCCGGATGATGGTGGAAAGCAAGCCGAGTCACCTGAAAAAGATCCGTGCGGATAGGGCGCGGAAGCAGCAGCAAAAGAAAATGGCCGCCGAACCCGACGTCCCTGCCCAACCGGTGGATCATGTCATCAAGGACAAAATCAAGGGGACAGGCCTAAAAACCTACGATGTGCATCTGCGTCAGTTCAGTCACAAAAAGGCTCTCGACGATGTGATGCAGCCCCAAAAGATGGAAAAGCAGCCCGAGCTAGTGGTGGCCGTAATTATAGACCTGCTTCACCGACGCTCCCTGGACAAGGCTTTAATTGGTCGCCCCGAGCCCGTGCTCATCCAGTTTATCGATTTTTTGTGCACACACCTGAGCGAGTCGCGGTTTATGAGGCCGCTGATGAATGCCTCCAGCACATTATTGGATGTCTTCGAACGGCAGCTGGTGGCCTGCAGTCCCCAGCTTATCAAGGCTTTGAAACGCCTGGCGGCAGCTGTCCAAGCGGAAATCCAGCTAACCGCCGAGCTGATGCAGCTCAAGGGGGCCATGGACATGCTCATTGGCATCTCAATGGATGGCGACGATGTGCCGCGCAAGCCGCCCGCCTATGTCAAGGAGGTCAAGGCACCAAGAATGCTGCCCTCCAAGGCCGCAGATAGGTACACGGTCTTTGTGGATTGATCTTTACTCACGAACCTTCGCACATTTAGCCAATGAAGAAGGATCTGGAAGGAAGAGAGTCGTAGGTTAAGCGAAAATAAACTAGCTTATTTAAGTCGTAGGAACCCAATGTAAGTGCAAAGTCAATAAAGTGTAAATAGGTCTGCAAATTGATGAACAACTGGAGATTCAAGATGATGTTTCGCCAGAGAGAGGGAGAGGGGGATAGTGCGCTATATAAGGAAATGGGCTCTGATTTAATAAGGAATTGCTTGCCATTCAATTAGTAATAGGCAATAGCAAAGGGTAAGGGGAGAACTACTAGGACATCATAGATATTATGCATGTATATATCTTTCTTTATTAAATACATACTTAAAATGAACATTTCGTCGTGCTCGCCAATTTTCGTTTTGAAATGTACAATTGAATTTTGTCTGCCGTTGTACGAGTAATAAAAAAAAAAATGATAATTGTATAAGGAAACTACAAAAACAGCAGCTGCCTTCTTTGACGAACTTGTTTGCTTGCATTACACGCTTGCAAATATTTGTGGATCCTTCGTTCGCCCATCAACATCTTGATCTTGGCCTTAAAGCTTAGCAATTGTTTTGCTGCTTTCCTTCTCTAGATGTAGATGTAGATTTAGGTTTACGTTGTTATTTTACGATTATTTGGAAAGACGAATTTACAATTAGAAGTTGCTCTGCTTAAGCTACACTCTCGCGCTACTTTTTAATATATATATATATATTTATGTGTATTTATATTGTATTTAAATGTATGTATAAGGTATATATATATATATCTATGCCGCCCGATCCTCCTTCAATCGCGCCTTCCTCTCATATCTTTGCCGCTTTCGCATGCTGTAGCTTAAACATAGAAATTTTATATGATAAGATTACACAATTCGTGATTCTTAAATAAGAATACAATTAGGCGTCTTAACTAGTTACAATTAGGGGTGTGTGAGTGTGTGTGTGTGTGTGTGGGCTGATGGTGGTAATTGTGTGTGCTTATGAGGTGCTTGATGGGGTGGAGCCACTACAACATTTACAATTGAATTACAAATTAAATTCATATACATAACAGATATTGCCTTTACATTTTACACTCTTGGCTTGCCTACACTCCCCTGCTCTCCAACTTCGATTCCAAGGTTCTGGAATGGATTGAATTGCCTCCTAGGTTCATAATCATATTTAAGGGGGTTGAGAGGCGAGGGTCACAGTTACATTACACGGAGGAGGAGGCGGAGGCAAGTGACATTTACAAATGATCCCGCTTGAAAACGAAGGGAATTACATAATGTGGCCATTCGGGGTCGATTAACAAGTTGTACAAAATATGTTTTGTCGACCTTTAAGCCGCGTTGGCACTCTCCCCGATCTGCACACCAAATCGGATACCACCAGAGGTGTGAGTGAATGTGGCTAATGATATTGCTGGGCGGAGGAGTTGACCGAGTCGTCGATGAGTGCATGGTGTGAGGGTATGGGACGGGGGGGGGGTGTAAGGATGCAAGGGTGTCTGGTGCGTGGTGGCTTGCTGTAATCTGAAGGAAAGTGTGCGTCTGGAACGTCTAGTGGTCTTAGCCATCCTCCTTGGGCGGCGTGAACCATCCTGTGGAAATGCACAAATAGAAATACAATTATTAAAATATCTTCCTTTGGGGTTAACCAGTCCTTAACTCACCGTTCTTCTCGTGGATCTGGACCAGCGACTTGAAACTCTGCTGGGCCCGAGCCAAACTATATTGGCCCTGGCTCAGCGCCTATTTAATGAGCAAGAGAATATGTATTTGCAAAATTATTAAAACTTAACAATGGCAATACAAAAAAATATAGTGTCCAGTTAATAATACCTTGGTGGCTCCGAACTGGATGCGCGCCTTGCCCTTGACCAGAGTGGCAGCTATTTGCATGATCACCGCCTCCACGGTATAGGCTGAGCTCCAGCCCTGTTTGGTCAGCAGTTCCATACAGATGGCACCGCCGATGAGCACATAGCCACCTGATAATATACGGCTTACTAATAATTGCCAACGAAAACTTAATGAGACTTACCTGAGATAATCGGATGAACAACCCGCACAAAGGGTGGCTCAAAGGGATACGTCTCCTTGAACAATATATTGAGCAGTATGCTGTCCTTGCCCTCCTTCTCCTTCAGCATTAACAGATCACTGTGCAGGGGACTGTCCGGATCGACAGACTTGAGGCGTATATTCCACTCGTAGATCGATTCGTTTACGAGCTCAATCGAATACATGTTCTTCTTGAAGGCGTCCGATCGATAGATATCACGCAGTTCCTTCATTAATCGATCGGTTGCCTGCACGGAACCCGAAACGGAACCCTAAAAGTTCGATAAGCATAAAATAAATTACAATGTTATGCAATTTGTAACACTGAAACTCACTTTTAAATAGTCTTGTCTTTGACTTTGACGCAGTCTTTCGAGGGTCGCTAAGTGTTCCACTTCCATATCGTCCTTCTGCAAGTAAAGACACATATTTATTTTTGCAAATACTGGGTATTGGGGGTATTTAAAAGAAGCTGCTTAGAGATCGTTTTTAGATTAATTCCCTGTCATTAAGGACTCACCTTGTTTGTACTTCGTACATCATCCATCTCCAGCGGCAAATCCTCGTCGCCTTCGCTCTCCTGTTCGCTCTCGCCAATGGGATCCTCGATGTCCTCCTGGTCCGAGTCGGTCTCCTCATTGCCGCCATGCTGTCCTCCGCCGCCAACGCCGCCCCCCGCTCCACCACCGCCGGGTCTCTGTTCGCAGCGCAGTGGCGAAGCGGATGGCGGTGGCGTTTGCAACGGCAGCGCTAGATTATCGATGTCGGGTGGCAGTGGAACGTTGTGTAGTCGGCACAGCTCTCGCAGCAGTATGCCCACCTGAAGGTAAAACGATCAAGGATCAGAATTAGTTTATTCTAAATCTAAATCGGGTAATTTTACCTGATTAATCACGTGATTATCCCGCCCATTTGTATTGCTAAGTATTTGAACGGCATTTGTGACGCTCGTCTCCTCGCTTTCGGCAAACCAAACTGGCGGCGATGAGGGATACGTTTCCTGGAAAAGGCAGAAATTATTATTATTACATAAGACATGTTCTTATGTTTATTATTGTTAGTATTATACAAACATACGCCCGCCCTTTGAGTTCTACATTTAAACTAATGTTTTCAAAACCTAATTAGACCTGGAAAATGTCCGCAAGTGAATTAAAACTGCCTCTGTTTATAACAATTACTTGGTGAATATATTTTAAAAGTTTGAAAGTAAAAACTTTTCCAATAAATTCGTTGAAGATTTCAAAAGAATACGATTACTGTATGTATATTCAGGACGCTCTCGGAAGCTCTAAGCCGTATTTACTGTATATTTGGCAATGGATAAGGGGGGAGGCTATTTCCAATCGCGAGTTGTGGGGTGGGTCAAGGACTTTAACTCTGTGTACACCCTCAATTTGTACGACAGACAAAAGAAATATATTATTTTCACAATAGCTATGCGCTCTCCACTCTCCCCGTTCATTCACGAGTCTCGTTCGCTCTCAGGTGAATTTGTCGCCCGACGCCGCCAGATCTACTTTGCATACACATGTAAATAAACAAATAAAGTGGCTTCTCCGACGACAGCAAGTACGAAATTATAACCTTTAATTAGATCGTTGAACCAGGCGGGGATCACTGCACAGAGAACAGCTGCTCGGTTGGGACGGAGGAGGAGGTGGAAAGGCGGAGGACGACCGTTTGCTGCAAGCTTGGCAACTGATCGATCGAGCAACGAGTGAATCATGCCGTTGTTTTCTTGGTTTTTTTTTTTTTTTTGTATATTTATTAGCGAATAAAGGTAAGCGTGAACGTAAATGACATGTGATCGGTTATCGTCCGGACAGGACTAGGCCAGAAGAGAGCACGGCACATACATACATACATTGTACATATGTATGTATATACTTTCATCTCAACTCTGTAGCCTGGGAATTAAAAAATCGGCACTCACACACACAAACATTTCAGAGAGAGGGCGAGAAGATGGAACGATCAACTAAGATCAGCGGCACAAAGAAGAAGAAGGGGAAGAACAACGGGAAGAATGGCCAGACAAGGATGGCAAGCAATTTAAGGAAGAAAGGAGAAATTCAAGAATATATAAAGATTAATACACTCTCACAAAGACTCTAACAATACATAAAATCTCTGAATAATCACGGAAATATGAACTTGACAAAAAAAATAAATAAATAAATAAAATAAAATAGAATATAATATAATACCAAAAAAAAAAATGGAGACAATAAATGTGCCGAGTCTAGTCACCACCACCTCTCAAACCCCAATGTCAATCCCAAACGCAAATCAATTGTAAGCACGAGGCTTCTTTGATAGCACTACTGCTTCTATTCCCTCCACCCTCCTCGCGATCTACGATAATTATAAACAAAGTAAGTGCCTTGTACGATAAGCCAGTTGCACGGATATCACATAACGCGTATGGGTGTATTTTTATTGGAAACCATTCGTTATGTTTGTATAATTTGCAGTTGCACAGACTTCGAGTTGACCCGTGCTTGCTTATTGTTGCAATGTTTGCTAAAATGTTTATATTCGTATGCAATTTGCGGGGCTGATTGCGAAAATTACATTTAAAATTGCCGAGAAGGTCAGTTTCATGGGAGAACTTGTTAGAAGCCCATTAAGATGCTTTTGCATTTCGCCCAATCCCACAGATGTGAGTCACGTTGTAAACAACTTAAGGCCAAATCCAAAGGAGTTATGCATTTAATGGAAATATGTGTCGCTGAATTAACAGCAAAGCAGAACAGTTTCTGATAAGGTTTCCCGATAAGGGAATGCTGGCCAGGCGACATCAAGCCAATACTACGGGTAATCTCTGATGATTTTGCAGAGTGTTTACCTTAGAATGTTTTTTTAATGATTGTTTACTATTTATATTTAGGACCGTTAATACTGTTTCATTGTTCCTGGGAACTTGTAATATATTCGTAACTACAAATTACGAAATCAAGGATTCTTTATGAACAGCCGAGTGAAATTCAACAAGACTCCCCCATCTGGATGGATTTCAAACAGGTCCCATTCCTCATACGTATTTTTTTTCTCGGTGTGCGTACAAACGTATGTATGTACATATGTGTGCGGATGCGTGGGTGCAAAGAGGGGGCAGTTGGACTTACCGTTATGTTGGCATGGATGTCGTAGCGCTTCCCGTTCTTGTCGATGAACCGGCAGAGGAGCTCGTCAACGCTGGAATTGAGGATCTGAAAGCGCTCGTGGTTCTTGGGAAAGATCTTCTCCAGAGTTTTGATTTCCTGCTTCAGGGTGTTAAGGCACGCCATCTTGTGGCGGGCAAAAAGGCAACTGGTCGGAGTTTAGCTTCTTGGTTATTGTGATTACTTTCTGGTCCAATCGAAGGTGAGATGATGTTCGCGGGGAGCTAGCTCCCCCGCTCTCCACGCTCCGCTCTCTCCTGCTGCGATGACAAGGGGACGGGGAGACAGTAGCAGCAGTAACTACTACGACGGCGGGCAGCGAAGAAAGCCAAAAGTCGCAGTTCGGTTGGCTTTTGTTGTTTGTGTTTCACTTACGGCGGAGCAAAAATTGTTGGGCTCCTCTCTTCGGTCTGGCTCTCACTATTTCTCTTTATCAGTGTCTTCGTCTTCCTTTCCTCTGCCTGACAGATGCTACTTTTGCTCGCCGTCGGTAGATGGCGTTTTCAGTGAATGCCGTTTGTCGTTGGTGTTGACTTTGATTGTTGATTGTTTTTTATTTACTTGTTCGTTATTTTCATGTCATGACTCTACTCTCTTGATTTGAAGTTATTGTGCTTCTAGATTAGTTTTGCTTTTGTTTGGAGGTAGATTAAAAACGACGACTTCTCAGACGCCTGCTTCTTTGTTGTTTTTGATGGCTCCTCTGAGCACCCTGTTTCCTCTCCTGCTCCACTTTACTTCACTCTCACTATGCTGCTGTGGCGGCTGCTGCTGCTTCTTCTTCTCCTGCGGCGCCCAGCATGCGCTCTCTTGTGTGCGTCTCTCGCTCTGCCTCTCTTTGCTTTTTGGTGTTCAGTTTTGCACTTTGATTTCTCGCTTTTTCCGTTGAATTTGCGAGTCCGTTTTCAGTTTTCCGTCTTTTCTTTCTCCTGTTGTTCTTGGTTTTTACTTTGACCAATGTCCTGCTCCTCGGTCAATTGCACCTTATTGAATTTATGCGTTTTGGTTATTGGAAAAAGCGTCAAATTAGTTTAAACACGTGTTTCACTGGGTTGGCTTATATTACTTCCTTTCCTATTGCAGGCCAAACAAAAACAACAAACAGCAGTTTACACACACACTCATATACGCACCCACACACTCGGCCGCACGCAGGTCGGCCAGACAAAACCTCACGCACACTGTTGCAAATAGCTGTATTGCTTGTGTCTCGCTCGCACTCGCACTGTCACTGGCACGGTTAGAGAGCAGGTCTTCTTGCCTACGCAACGATCGGAATCGGAATCAAAATGAAGCAGAAGTTTAGAAAAACCAAACTTAAATAACACTAAATATTTGCCGACTCCTCCATCCCTCCTTTCAGCCTACGTTGCTTCATTAGTTTCTGTTTTCTGCTGCGTTTGTCAATTGCGTTCCGTGGAAAACTTGTATACGAAAAAGTTCGAAATGAAAGAAAAATGATGGCAGCGCAGAAGAAATTCTGTGCTAAAGAGGAATCGAAAGTCAGTTGGCACACGCACACTCGGCCAGGCTGCCTGACAGACACACACAACACACACACACACACGAGGAAGTGCAGGAAGCAGAAGTGTCAAAATCGAATTGTAAATCTGAAACCGAATCTAAGCCAAAATCTTTGCGAGGCTCCACTGTTCACTTGCGGCAGCTGAGGGCCAGCTGCTGTCGTGCCTTCCATCATGCATAACCTTTACCCCCCCGCTCCTCCCCACGACCACCTCTTTGCCTATCGGCCCTTCATTTCCCCACCCTCACTCCCTCTGCTCGTCTGCGTTTTCAGCATTGCATACACACACACAAACACACTGGCACACATACACTCGCAGCAGTCTGCTGTAAGTGGATTTAATCATTTATCAATATTTAAGCAAAAACCAAATGTGAACGGGGCAGTGCTCCCCCGAACCCGAAGAACTCCTTTGTTTGCACGGAATGGAGCACTAAGCGAAACACAGACACACGAAAAACAGCAACAGAAAACAGAAACGGAAAACAGCAACTCTTCTCCCACACAGCCACTGAAAAACACACACACTCTGGGCAATTATGCATGTAAGCAAATCAGCGAACGCAGCTGAGAAAATTGTACAAGAGGCCAGGCCAGGAATGAAAAAAAAAAAAAAAACAAAATAATACACGCACAGCAACGAAAAATCTGTCCACGCACGTCCGCCCGTTTTACCTTTTCCTTTTGTTCGAACTGTGTGCCCGTGCTTTCCTTTTGATCGTTTTCCGTTTTAATGCTTCAATCAGCCAGAGAAATAGCGGATTTTGTCCTCTGCGGCAGCTGGCTACACTAAATTATAGAGGCTTGAAAAAACATCGATATAACATCGATGTTATCAATTATTCGATAGGCACAGCGATAAGCACCGCGAAAATGGTTACTTTAAGATGTATTTAAAATTTGGGCTAGAAATATAAACTTGAACTTGCACCATATCGAACATAATTGCAAATTTAGCAATTCACTTATCGTATTATTTTAGTGAGCTTCCCTTTTTCCTTCAAATATTGTCATCCGCCTATGCTTATTATATATACAAGTATATAAATATATTTTAAAGGATTTTAGATGTACAAATTTGCGACTAATTCCTTTAAAAATAAGCTTGAACCAAGAACACAACCATCGTTAAACTTGTGATACCGTATTCCAATTTTGAATTACTTTCCACCTCCCGTTCGCTTAAACTTATCGAAGGACCGTTGGGTTCGGTGTGTGAAGCAAACGGAAGAAAAGAGGAAAAAAGTAAAGGTAAAAAAAACTTGTCTGCTGGAAATTTGCCGAGAAAATGCCAAGCGAAATAATAACCTTGCAGTTGGGCCAATGCGGCAATCAGGGTGAGTTTCCAATAAAAGTAATAATTAAGAGATAAAGGAAGAGATCGCTAATCCGCGCACCTGCGCAGTTGGATTCGAGTTTTGGAAGAGGCTGTGCCTCGAACACGGCATCTCGCCCAATGGCGTCCTCGAGGACTTTGCCACCGATGCCCAGGACCGCAAGGATGTGTTCTTCTATCAGGCTGACGACAGCCACTACATTCCACGTGCGGTGCTCATTGACCTTGAACCCCGTGTCATCCAGAGCATCAATACCTCGCCCTATGCCAAGGTAACGCACACTCCTTTGCCTTTTTTGTTGTTTCTTTTTCATATTACGTATAACTACATATATAATCCATTTAATGGGCTAGCTCTACAACCAGGAGAATGTGTTCCTCTCGAAGGACGGCGGCGGAGCCGGCAACAACTGGGCCTCCGGCTTCAGCCAGGGTGAGCGCTTCCAGGAGGAGGTGTTCGACATCATCGATCGTGAGGCAGAGAACAGCGATTCGCTGGAGGGCTTTGTCCTCTGCCACTCGATCGCCGGCGGCACCGGGTCTGGCATGGGCTCGTTTGTCCTTGAGCGCCTGGCGGATCGCTACGAGAAGAAGCTCATCCAGACGTATAGCGTTTTCCCCAATCAGGACGAGGTCAGCGATGTGGTCGTCCAGCCGTACAACTCGATTCTCACGCTCAAGCGTCTGACGGAGTGCGCCGACAGTGTTGTCGTTCTGGACAACACTGCACTGAACCGTATCGCCACGGACCGCCTCCACATCCAGACTCCGACATTCCATCAGATCAACAACCTGGTGTCCACCATTATGACCGTCAGCACCACCACTTTGCGCTATCCATCATACATGAATAACACTTTGATCGGCCTGACGGCCCCGCTTATTCCCACTCCACGTCTGCACTTCTTCATGACGGGATACACACCATTGAACACGGACATGGAGGTGGGTTGGACGGGTGTTCTTAATCCCTGGCTTATCTTGTTATCTTTTCCAGACCACAACCAGTGTGCGCAAGACCACTGTCCTGGACGTGATGCGTCGCCTGCTGCAGCCGCAGAACATGATGGTCTCCACCGTGACCGACAAGAAGGACAAGCAGAAGGAAACCTGCTATATTGGCATCTTGAATATCATCCAGGGCGAGGTGGATCCATCGCAGGTTGACAAGTCGCTGCAGCGCATTCGCGAGCGCAAGTTGGTCAACTTTATACCCTGGGGCCCTGCCAGCATTCAGGTGGCCGTCTCGCGCAGTTCGCCCTTTGTCCAAATGCCGCACAAAGTGTCCGGCCTCATGATGGCCAATAACACTGGGATTAGTGCCCTGTTTGAGCGAGCCCTTACGCAGTTTGACAAGCTTAAGAAGCGCAACGCTTTCGTTGATAATTTTCGGCGCGTGTCCATGTTCAAGGACGATCTCTCGGATCTCGACGATGCCCGCGAGACGGTCGACTGCCTGGTGCAGGAGTACGATGCGGCTACCACTCCTGACTATCTTCAATGGAGTCCGAATTGCCCAGAAGCCCAGGGAGCTGGCTTTGCTAATTAACACTCAAACTTGGAAAGGCGAAACAAAAATGTAAAAACTAATGTTAGATCTAGAAGGGGTGCATGTTCCTTAAAGAAATAAAAACTTTACAAAATCAATAATAAATACAAATACAAACTTTATTCAAATTTCAGATTTATTGTTACAATCCTATGTTTGAGCTCTTCCACTCTCTCCTCCGTCCGCCCCAATTCGTTTCGCTACCTTCGCTACAAATACAAGTACAAGTAAATCGATATAGTGGATGCATTATATGTGTATATATAGAGTGCTGCGTCTACATTAAGAGAGAGAAAGAGACCAGGAGTCGCACAGGTGAGTACTTCAAGTCTTGTATTTCCTGTGCAACCGAAAGCACAGCGGAATGGTATGGAAAATGGTGTATTTTTTACATTTACATTTACGCTTTTTGCATCTTGTGTGTGTTTCATGTGTTTAGAATTAGAGTTAGAAGTAGCGTAGTTGTGGCACCCCGACTTTAGCTAGCTTGAATACATACAAGTGAAAAAATCATAGAAGTTAAGCCTGCGGCCGGGGCCTGACCTTGCCCCCCGATGTGTTTTTTGCACCCCCCCCTCGAATTTTTGGGCCAGGTCCCTGGCCTTGTGCTGCTCCGGCTTCAGCTGCTCATCACCATTATCACAACCCGCTTACAGTTCACTGTGCGGCGTCTTGTCCTCTTCCGTGCCGGCGGGCGTGGGTGTGATCTCCTCGACGGGCTCTTGCTCAGGCTGCTCCTGCTGCTCTTCCGCCGTCTCCTCCGTCGTGGCACCGTCGCCAGACGACGCCTCCTCGCCTCCGTCCTTATCCTTCTTCTTGTCCTTGTCGCCGGCGGCGGCTGTTGGCTTGGCCTTGGGCTTCCAGATCTTGGACTTGTTTACCAGATACTTGATCTCGCGATCCAGCAGGCTCATCTTGTCGGTGATATCCTTGACAGTCAGTCGAATGTCGGCGTTTTTGGCCAACTTCTTTTGCGCGGCCGTCTCGGTCTTTAGCCAGGCGCTGGTCTCATCGATCACCTTGGCCAGGGTGTCGATCTCCACCTGGGTGTAAACATCCTTATCGGGATTGGTCTCCTTGGTGAGATTGCGTCCGGTGGCAAGGAACTTCTCCGAATGCTCGAGCATGCCCTTGAGCGCCTTGATGGCCTCCGGTCGCTCCTCGTGCTCCCAGTGGCGGGCGAGGAAGACGTTGGAGAGCTTCTTCAGCTGCGCCAGCTTTTCCTCGTAGATCTCCGCCTTGGGATCCTCCAGATCCTCGTATAGCCACTCGCCCAGGGTGCTGCACTCGGCCAGCAGCTTCTCCTTTTCCTCGGCGGTAACGCAGCTGGCATACGAGTCCTCGTCCAGCTTTTGCTGCACCTCGATGATGTGCGATTCCAGGGAGTTGAAGGCGGATTCCAGGCGCACTCGCTGCTCCTCCGCCTGATTGATGGCCGTCAGCTTGGCCAGGGAGCTGTCGTAGCCGGTGCCGGCAAGCGGAGCTGTGAACTGCACCTGCGATTGGTATGTCACCGGGGTCTTGACTGTTACCAGCTTAATGGTCTCGTTCTTCTTCTTGGCATCATCGAGATCAGGCTTGTTCTCCTCGGACTTGGGCTCCTTGCTGGTGGCCTCCTCTTCGGCCTGTTCTGCCTGCTTGGGCTTCTCCTCCTCGGCCTTGGGCGGCTCCTCGCCGGTGGCAGTGGGCTCCTCTGGCTCCTCGTTGTCATCCTTTTTGTCCTTCTTCTCCTCTCCATCCTTGGTGAAGAGCTTGCTCAGCGTGCTGCCCAGCTTGGAAAGCGTGCTGCCGTCGTCATCCTCGGCCTCCTCCTCGAGCTTCTGCTTGTCGTACACATACTCCACGTTTGTGCAACGGAAAATCCCCGAGTCATCGAGATAGAAGTACGCCTTGATGCCTTTGTTGTCCACCAGATCCTGCTTGGACTTCTCCAGCAGCTCCTTGACCTGCTTCAGCTCCACCTTGGTCACATTCAGGCTGCCCAGGGCAGTGATATCCCCCTGGCTGTAACGATCCAGGTCGGCGTAGTTGACAAAGAACTCAAAGTCATCGGTGTGCTTGTTGAAGGTGATAACCTTCTTCTGCGGATACGGATTCATCAGGGCGAAGAGGACTCGCTTCACCTGCTTAACGGCGGCACCATCACCGGGATCCCGCTCGAACGAGACCTGCAAGGGATACAGCACCGCATCCTTGACCACAAACTTCTTCACCTTGAAACCGGCCGAAAGATCGGCCGCCTTGTACACAGCTCCCATGGTGGCGGACTCGTCAGCGTTGAGGTTCTTGCCCAGCTCCTGCTTGATCAGTGCCTTGATAGTCTCCTGGACACGGGGCACACGGGTGCCACCGCCAAACAAGATAACCTGATTGATCACATCCAGACTGAGGTGCGACGAAGCCAGAGCCTGCTCCAGCGGCTTTGTAGTCCTCGGCCAAAGGTCCGCACAGATCTCCTCCAGCTTCTCGCGGGAAACCGCCAGCTTAAAGTCAATATCCTCCAGCAGATTCTCGATCTGGGCATAGTGATCGGTGTTCGCCGACAGGACATTCTTGAGGCGTCCGGCCTCCTTGAAGAGCTTGGCCAGGGCGCGCGGACTAGTGGTCACATCGGTTTTGGTCTTTTTCAGGGCATTAAACTCGGCGGCCAAGTAGTCGCGCAGCCTCAGCTGAATCTCCAAGCCACCGAGCGTCCGATCGAAGCCCACGCCTAGCACCTGGACAACTGGATTCACCTCCTTGGTCTGCTTATCCTTCACCAGCTGGTAGCTGACCACGGCGGCCGAGGTCTTGTAGGCGCCCATGTCGTAGAAAAGGAAATACTGAGCCGTCTCATTGATCTCGCCGCGATGGAACACACCATAGTTGAGGGCCACCGCCGCATAGTCGTTAATTAGCTGCAGGACCTTGAGATTGGCCAATTGGGCGGCAGCCAGGAGGGCCTCCCGCTCCGCCTGGCCAAAGTAACCGGGCACAGTGAGGACACACTCGGTGATGGGCTGCTGCGTGGACTCCTGGGCAAACTGCTTGGCCTTGACCAGCATTTGGGCCACCAGCTCCTCCACGGAGAACTCCTCGGTGTCGCTTTTGCGGAACACCACAGTGTTGCGCTCTGGATCGCCAATAATGTTGTAGTAAGGGAAACGTTTCCTACCAGGGAGAGACGGAGAGGGAGAGAGGGGGAGATTAGCCGAGTGTCCGAGGCATGACGTGGCCCATTACTTGACTTGACCACTCACCTGTACAGTTCAACAATGGGATTGTCAATGGTCTTGCCCAGCAAGTCCAGCAGGTAGCCGTATGCCGAATTGGGATCCTTGATTCCAATCGTCTGAGCATCCTCGCCAATGGTTCGCACTCCATTGCGGAAGGCCAGAATGGCTGGCGTTTTGCGCTTCGACTCGCGATTCAATGCTATCTCCATGGGCACGCCGGGCGACACAACGCCCACCTTCATCCATTCGGTGCCCAGGTCCACGGACATGACAGCGGCACCCTGTGACAGGCCAATGGCCGCCAGCAAGGCGCTTAAAGCCAGCAGGAGTTTCATTTTTCACTTCTGGAAAATCAAAGAAAAGCTGGTTAGAAATAGGAACCTAAAAGATCTGCTAAGATTTTCGGGAACCTTTCATTTTCCAGTGAAAATGAATATTCCCGATGAATTGCTGATACTTGGAATCGTTGCAGATAAGGTTTTGAATTTATTCTGGTTTTTTCTTTGAATATAAAAGAAAAAATTGACTGAAACGTTTTTTATTTACTGAAATATTTAATTTAATAAAATTTAAAATCAACTTTGCTGCGTTTAAATATTCCATGTGGCAACTTTTGGGCCAGAGGGACGACCGGGCATCAGGTGAACATTATTTACGGGGAAACTTGTTGAGAAATTTTAACTGGAAAAGAGCATTAACCTTTCCGCTACTCCCACATTTCTTCCGATATTCTCGCTCTTCTCGCTCTTCTATCACTTCTATTTTTTTTTTTTTTGCAACGCAAGCAGCTGTCTGTGCTGTGTTGTGCCCCCGCTCCCCCTCCTTCCAAGTACCGCTTTCCACTTACGTGTCCCGTTCGGTGGTTCGCTTCCAGCGGAGCTGTCCCTGCGAGAGTCCTTTTCCAGTTGCGAGCCCAATCGCCGAATAACGCTTCCGACGCCCGCAATAACTTATTTATCTGATGATTATTAATTTGTTCACTCTGCGGAGAGGAAAAGACTTGCGCCGCTGCCGCTGTTTTGCGAAGAAGAGGAAGAAGCGTTGACGTGTTGATGTTCGCCTATGGCAGCTGAAAATACGCTTTTCCCCTAAAAAATCTCAAAAAGTTTGAAACCAGATACTCGAACCACATCTGAAGCGCGAAGCACATCTGATATTCGAACCACACCTGATACTCGAACCACACCCGACCGATTACGGAATCTGCCGGCAGGGCGAGGCTGCCAACTTGCCGGCAGAACTGCTTCGTGTCCAGCCAGGCGAGTTAGCGTTTCCACTGTTTTTTGGAAAATGGGCGTGGTTCCGCCCTTGCTTTTTTTAAAGAATTATTTGATAAAGCAGGTTTTTAACTCCGGGGAAAAAATGAAGCTGACTGGGGCTGCTCTGGCGAAAATACTGTGAACCTGCATCTCTCGGCTCTGATTAGCGTCACAGAAATTAAAATGTAATCTACGGCGACAACTCTTGCTATCAGAAGCCAGATAAATATGCGCCGCAATTCGAGGGGGCAAGGTGTGAGGGGCAGCTGACTGATACGGGGGGATAGCAGTCAAAAACAAGTTGATTTTCCATATTTCTAGAATGAAATGCAATTCGTTTTGAATTTTCAACAGTTACGTCAACAACGGGCAGTTGGCAACACTGACCAACAGCGAGCGTTTTAGAACACTGCACAGTTTGAATTTATAAAACCGTTATCTTTTGAATTTATTGTAAAGTTTAAATTAATTTCAAGGCGGCAATATTTTTTTGGCAAATGCAAAAACTAGGCCAATGGGCCTAAAAAAAAAAAAAACAGTAGCGGGGCGACGGCCTCCGTGTGACATGGTAAATTATTCGTGTATCTCGGCGTTGGTAATCGTCATCTCCGGCGGCTTGTCGCACTCACAATCTTCAATTAACTGCTACGCGGTGTTCGACATGCCGACAAGGCAACCCATCCCAACTCCGACTTCGATTCCGAGTACTACGATGATTCCGGCAATTCCTCTGTGACTTACAAAAAGGTAACCGATGCCGGAAGCCCATTAACAGTCACAGTTGGCCCTCAGCCACAGAGCCACAGAGGCGACACGCTATAGTTCCCATTTCAACTATTTTTTTTGTTTCTATATACAAATTTTCCTCCAAGAGATACGAGTGGATGCGAGCATGAAATTCAATTTGGTGCAGACACTGGTCTTCACATTCTGCCTAATTAGTGTGCAAATTCAAGGCATTCAAGGTGTTTTAACCATATCTATTCAGGTTTTAAAGTTTTTCGAATGAATTTAATGCCATACTTGAACATTTTAAGACCTTACCTCCTCCTCCTTGAGGCAACTAACAAATTTCTTGCAATTTCCAGATGCCAGTGGCAAGCGGATCGTGAGCAAATATGAGCGGGTGATGCAGATGTATCCACAGCTGTCGTCCGGCGGGGCAGAGTCCTCGCAGTGGCGAGTTGCCGAAAAGGATATGCGGCATCCCTGCAAGCGCGACTGCGCCGATCAACAGCCCATGACCTGCTACTACTACATGGTGGTGCACTACGACGACACGATGGCGGAAACCTGCAAGCGATACCTCCAGGTGGGTGAAGCTAAAAGTCGTGAATAACTCTTACCTGTCTCTCTTCCAGTCCAAATACCGCTTCAAGCTGAATGGCAAAGAGTTCATTGATGGCATCAAAGTGGCCGAGGAACTGGGAACAAACGATGACTGCAAATATGCCGATGGCTTGGAGAGCGAGGTGATGGTGGTCAATGGCCAGCTGCCAGGGATGAGCATCGAGGTCTGTCACGGGGATACCGTGGTGGCGGATGTGATCAACAGCATGCACGAGACGACGACGGTGCACTGGCATGGCATGCATCAGCGCCTGACTCCGTTCATGGACGGAGTGCCCCATGTCACCCAGTATCCCATTGAGGCGGGCCAGGCCTTTCGCTATCGCTTCGAGGTGGATCACGGCGGCACCAATTGGTGGCACAGCCACACCGAGCATCAGCGAGCCTTCGGACTGGCTGGCCCCCTGGTGGTCCGTATGCCGCCGAAACTAAATCCTCACGCCCATCTCTACGACTTTGATCTCACCGAGCACGTGATCATGATCCAGGACTGGGTGCACAACTTTGTGGAGAGCGTGGCCGAGAATATCCTGATCAATGGCAAGGGTAGGAACCTCAAGAAGGGCATCAAGGTGGTCAAGCCCACGCTGTACGCTCACTTCCCGGTGGTAAGGGGCGGGCGATACCGATTCCGGGTTATCTTCAATGGCGTCTCCAACTGCCCCATCAGCCTGAGCATTGACAATCACAACCTGGTGGTGATCGCCAGCGATGGCAACGACATTGAGCCGGTGGAAGTGCAGCGGATCATGCTACACGGTGCGGAGAGATTCGACTTTGTGCTGCACGCCAACCAGGAGGTGGCCAACTACTGGATCCGGGTCAAGGGCTACAGCTTCTGTGCGAAGAATCAGCTGCACCAGGAGGCGGTTCTGCATTATCGCGATGCGGACACTCGAGCCCTCGACACGCACACCCTTAGCTATGCCTACGATGCACCAGGCATTACACTCAATGAGCTGGGCGATGCTGTTGACGGCAGTGCTCCCGGGAAGACCATCTCCCTGGCCACACTCAATGCCCAGAGACCGGAACCGGAAATCCAGCCGACGGCCACCTTTTACACGAGCATGAACGCGTTCGAGGTGCGGCAGGGCGAGGGCTTCCGTTTCCAGATGGACGACATCAGCTTCAGCATGCCGAAGATGTCGCTGCTGCAGACCCGCAACCTAGGCGTTGGCCAGTTCTTCTGCAATCGCTCCCAGCAGGCGGACTTGGGCTTCAACTGCCGGCAGCGTCACTGCCGATGCTCGAACGTGATCCAAGTGCCGGCGAATCAGCAGGTGGAGTTCGTCGTCTCCAGCCTGTCGAGCACTCCGCATCCAATACATCTGCACGGCTACACCTTCCGGGTGGTGGGAATGGGTGTCCTGGGTGAGCAGAAGGTAGGACAAATTGAGGAAATTGACCGGAAGACACCGCTGCCGCGGCGTGGCCGTGGTGCTCCGCTGAAGGACTCGGTCCAAGTGCCCGCCTTTGGCTATACGATCTTCCGGTTTTACACCAACAGTCCTGGCTACTGGATGTTCCACTGCCACATCTCGCCGCACTCGGAGAACGGCATGGCGGCGGTGGTGCGCGTCGGCGAGGATGTGGAGATGAAGATGTGTCCGGTGAGCAACTGCGGCCTGTGCAGCTCGATGGCGTAGCAGGAAGAGATGTGAGGTGTCCAATAAAGGTGTACTTTTTTAAGCTGGCATTGGAGCTGGATTTCTTTTTGGGCAGTGGGCAGTTTAATTTACGTTTTATTATTTTGTCTTCTGATCGCAAGTTTCGATTTCGCCATTATTCAACACTATGACCGTTACTTAAGCACTGTTGCAGTGTGGAACAACGGCCAAACACAAACCCACACACACGTGCCGTCAAATGTAAACAAACGCAACACAAGATGACCGGAAAAACCAAAACAAAACGGCCTGCCAGCGACTCCGATTCCGATTCAGAGGATGATGCCCAGATGCGGCTGTTTCTGGAGGCGGCGGACACCACCCTGCTCACCAATTCAATGTTCCAAAGCCACACAAAAGTGGGAGAAGGCGAGGAAGAGCCGAGCAAGGATGTGCCGCCTGCCAAGAGCGAACGCTACCTGGAGCAGGATGCCCCGGCCAGCGATCTACAGATCACCAAGGAAATGCAGACCCACATTTGGAGCCGCCTGAGTGGGATTATCCAAAGCCAAATCGAGTTCTGTGAAAGCCAAGAGAAACCAAAGCATCACAAGAGGGCGAAGGATGAGGGCGGAGTCAAGCTGGTGTCCAACGCCGATTGTTATCTGATTGCCGACTTGGTGGTGGAAGGTCCAGCCGGTCCACGCAAAAAGCCAACCATCAAGAGACGAGCCATAGACGAAGACAACGATCCATCCACGACGCCGACCCTTCTCCAGGCCGTGGCAGTCAGCGGACAGTCCGTATTGGAGGGCAAGGACGTGCTCGCCTGGGCAGAGAAGAAACGACGGCCGGACAAGCTCTTCCAGTACAGATCAAGCGGGGATCCCAAGGGAGCCAAGCTGCTGGCCATCGAACCCACCAACGAATTCACAAAGCGCCGGCGCCAAAACAATTGGAATGAGTCGAAAATTGCCAGGAAAAGGAAGAATAAAGCCTGAGATTTGTGATAAGAAAGTTATTTCATTTTCAATTATATTCCTACGACTTGAATATCTTTTCTTTTTTTTTGTGAGAGGCTCTCTTTCCTGAGGTTCGAATTGATTTTGTAAACTGATCTTAAGTAAGACGGCGCCCGGCTTCCACTCGTTCTATTTTTTTTTTTAAGTGTAATTAAAGAGTATTTGAAGCAGCATTGTTATTGGCAGTTCCCTGCGCGGGGATTCAAATGCTGACAGCTGAGAGCTGAGGCTCCTTTGCGCTTTGATTACGACTCGAAGGTGGCGTGGAATGTGGTGGCCCCGTGGCCTCCACTTGCACCTGCACTTGCCCCACTCCCATTGCCGTTGCCATTGCCATTCGCACTGCCATTGCCGCTTGTGGCCGTCGTCATCGTTGAGGTAGACGATATCTGGCTATCCAGCAGGCCGTACAGCATCTGCTGTGAGCTGACGGTGCCACTGGAGCCAGTGCTGCCGCCCAGATCCTGCAGCATATCGCCCACCATGGTGTTGTGTCCGCCCATGCTCTGGCTGCTGCCGGTGGCACTGTTGTCCAGTATGTTGAGGAAGTCGCTGCCGTTGAACTCGTTATGATGCTGCTTGTGCAGCATACTGCTCTGGCTCTCCTTCATCAGTTTGTCGTACTCCTGCAGAACGCTGTTGAATTCGCCAATCTCCACGCGATTCCTGGCCATCACCTTGTGCTTGTAATAGTTATGGACTTGGGTCAGCGATGTGCCCGTCACACCCGTATAGGCACGTTCCAGGGGCACCAGTTTCAGCACCGTTGACTTCTGTAGCCGCGGCTCCGCATCGTAAAAGCCACGATATTCGCCGATAAAGCTACGCAGAAACTCCTCGGTGGCGTCCGTCAGCAGTTGCACTGCCGACTCGGAGCAGTCGGTGAAGCCGGCCAGGCGTAGCATGCCGCACATTACTTTGCGCAACGCCTGACGGCAGACATGGCTGGAGATTTCCGGATAGGGCTGCGGATCACCGCGGGAGTAGGCCGTATCTACCGTGGGCGTGAACCAGATGGGCTTCTGGAACTTCTGGCCGCCCACCAAATCGGCGGCGTTTTCGGGCGGAAAGTCCACCTCGGGTATCATGAGGCAGGGATTAAGCAGGTAGTTTGAAGAGCCCTGCAAATGCAATTCCCAATTATTTCTGTGCTCTGAAAGGGGATTTCTCCGGTACACTCACATTTTTGTTCGAATAGGTTTCTATGAGGGACTGGAGCACCTCGGTTTGCTTCATCACCTCGATGGTCTGGGTGACCAGAGAACTCTTCAGCTCCACCAGGTGACTGTGTGGGAAGGACCAAGATTAGTAAATCGGGGAAATCGATTTGCATATGGCTTACGCTTACTGGTTGTCCTCTGGCTGAATCTCACCGCGCTGGCGTATCTCGTCTAGCTTGGGCTTCTTGGCAGCCGTGGGCACATATTTGTCTGCAGTCAGTTGGCCGCCATCGTCCTCCGCGGGGACAGCGCCCCAGTGCTCTACTTGCATTGTTATTTGCTCTTTTTAAAAATCAAAATTTTGCCCGAAACAAAAAAATATAAACAAATGCAAAGCCGCCGCCAGTGTTGGTAAATACACGAAGAGCTATCTGTTATCGATAATTTGTCAGCTGTGTGCTATCAGAGTTGCCGCCACGTCAGCTTTTCGTATTTGTTTTATTTTATTTTTCTAAAATAAATATAAAAAAAGTATAACTTTTATTTTTTGACTCTGATTAATTTCCTTAACTTTTCCCATCAGGTGTTATGTTGTATCCCAAAGAGATATTTAAATTAAAAGCTTCGACCTTTTAGCTTTTTTTTTGGTCACTCTGAAAACTTGACAACACTGCTGCGACGGCAGCTGGACACGCACACAAATACAAAATGTAATTATTTGTTTTCAATTCGACCAGGAAATAGGAAATTCGTGGCTAAAACCGAGACCAAGCAAGGTTGGCAAGATAACGCAACGACGCAGACGACGTGTGGGATTGTCCAGCGGATTGGCGGCGGCAGGATACGGCGGATACAACGGCAACAAGATGCACCAGCAGCACATGGACCTGCACGCGCCCGTGGACTTGAATAAGGTGAGTTTTTCCATAATCATTCAGTTTGTTTTCCTGGCACTACTATTGGTTTTTTTCCGATTCATGGATACTTCCTTGCCCCGACTATAGTCCCTGGACGAGATGTCGCCGGAGGAGCGCATGCGGTGAGTGTTGAAATTGAAGCTTAAAGAAGCCCTAATTGCTAACTCCTCCTCCTTTACCTCCGCCTCCTCTTCGAACAGTGCTGAGCACCAGATGATGGTGGAAAAGCATCGCGGCCACGATGCCATGCATTCGGAAATGGTGATCATCCTGTTTGTCACCTTGCTCATCGCTCAGATCATCCTTGTGGAGTGGAAAAAGCGCCACTATAGCTCCTACGCCTTTGTCACCCTGCTGGCCATGTGGCTCATCCCGCTGATCATCTCCTGCAGCTTTGGCTGGCTGCGCTTCATTATCATCTGGCTGGTGTTCACCTGCATAACGGCACTGGTGATGCGCCGGGCCATCAGCAAGCCGATCCAGGGCACAACGCCCAGGTGAGTCACATACATACGACGATAAGACGGGTGGCGGCGTATCGATAAATCTTATCCGTGTTATATTACAGGCTGGTCTACAAGTGGTTCTACTTTATCTACAAACTTAGCTACGGCCTAGGCCTGGTGGGCTATCTGGTGATCATGGCCGCCTTTCTTGGGATGAACTATCTGTTCTCGCAGCCGCCGAATACTTGGATGGATGTGGGCCTGATGTTCTGCTTCTATGGGCTATACATCGGTGTCCTGGGCCGCGATATATCCGAGATTTGTTCGGATAAAATGGCAGCGGCCATTGGTGTGAGTGTTTATATTGCCTCCCAGCTTCGGTTTTAGCTCCTGCTAATCCCAGATATCTATTCCCGCTTAGTACTACGCCCCACAGGGCATTCCCACACGGCATTTGGATCAGAATGTCTGCGCCGTTTGCGGCAATCTGTTGCTGGTTTCCGAGAAGGAAGAGGGTGTTATCGAGAACACCTACAAGCTGTCCTGCAACCATGTGTTCCACGAGTTCTGCATACGGGGCTGGTGCATTGTGGGCAAGAAGCAAACGTGTCCCTACTGCAAGGAGAAGGTTGATCTCCAAAAGATGTTCCGCAATCCGTAAGCTAAATCATCATTGTTTTATGGATGCCATAAAACATTTTGAATATCTTTGAATATCTCCCAATAATACAGCTGGGAGAAACCGCATGTTTTGTATGGACGCCTGCTGGACTGGATTCGTTGGCTGGTGGCCTGGCAGCCGCTCATCTTCTTCATAGTACAAGGCATCAACTGGATGCTGGGATTGGAATAGGTATCCTGGCATTCGGATTAACTTTCCTCGGCATCTAGTCAAGCACACACCAAACACACACACACACATACACGCAATACAAACACTTTGGATTCAACAACGATGAGATTTGACCAATTTGGAGGCACCCAGCACTCGAGCACGGTCGCCAGCCATTCATTCCCGCGCTCTCTACCCTCCAGAAGAGTTGACGAAGCTTGGGTTTCCGTTCCGCTTAGTGTTAGAGGCTTTCCCCTTATTCCCACAGTCTTTGAAGTCGAAACGTAAATGCAATTTTTGGATATAATATATGTCTATATATATTATATATTTATATATATATATATATGTGTGTTCGTGTGCCTCTGTGTGTATGTATGTCTCCTAGGTATTAATATTACCAATTTTTTCAATTTTTACTTCAATAATTTACTTTAAAATGCACTGGAGCTGGTCTAGAAATATATACATACCAAAAAAAAAAAAAACTGAAAAAGACAATTTATAAAATATTAAAAACTCTATCTCTTTCTCTTTCGCAAGGTAAACAAATATTTCAAATTAAAATGAAACACTTATCATTTATTATTATTATTTAAGGAGGAAGGAAGGCGGTTGTATTTTAAACGAAAAGTTCGATCAATTTTTTGGAGCTGGAAATAAATTGATGATTAGTGAACAGATTTTTCTAAACAAAAAATCAATTAAAAAAACGAATGAATAAAAAATTTCACCTTTGTCTATCTTTTTCGATTGAATTGATTCTGAAAACATATATCGATTACAAAACAAATCGATAAACGATTATAGAATCAATTTTGAAATAAAATCGATTTATATATCGACTTTCGCTTTGAATATCGATTCAGCATCGATCTATTGATCATTTCTGCCTTCTTGAAAGAGCTATATCGGTTCTCTCTTTCCTTTTCGCTTTCTCATTGGAAATAAGGAGACTTAAATCTCAAATAGGCTTTAATTTCTTTGAAATATAACAAGTTTCTCTCGCTCTTTATTGTAAACTTTGATTGTTTTTTATATACTTTTTTGTTTATATGATTTTCTTAAGGCAACAACAATAACAAAATATATATATAATATAAAGAAACCCGAATGATTTAAGAAGAGAGGGAATAACAGACTAAAACTGGACAGAGTAGATGATAGTTGCTACTAAGCTTCAAGGTTCTTTTTTTTCTTTCTTTTTTCAGGCACGGAAAGAAGGGTAGGGATTAAGGTCTGAGGTGGAATCTATTGGGTCAGGGGAGTCAGTCACCTAAACATAGAAGATTGGGGCCTCCTCCTCCTGGCTTAGTAACCAGAGGCGCCGATCATCTTGCGGATCTGCTCGAAGGACAGCCAAAAAGTAAGCGACCACGGTGCCATACGTATCCAGCAGGGCAGGAAGCCCTTGTAAAGCGCCGCAAAGCCCTCCTTGGACACCGTCTGGCGCAGGCAGTCCACGGATCCGCGGTACAGCAGGCCACTAAAGGGAATAGAATGATAGATGTATCTTTGTCCAGACTATTTTTAATAGTTCTTATTTTACTCACCGTCCCTTCTCGTCGGTGGGCTGGTTCATGATACGCGTCTTCACCACATCCGCGGGCGTGCCCATAATGGCAGCCACGAAGCCGGCACACACGGAGGCCAGCACATGGACGGTATGGCAGTCGGGCATCTGCAGGCGGTGCATGATCAGGTGCTTGATGGTGTCATAGGTTGTGAGATCTCCCAGATTCACCAGCGCCGCACGCTGCACATTCGGTATGCTGCCCTTCCACAGACCCTTAATGCCGCCTCGCTGCACAATCTCCCGGAAGGCATGCCCTGCCGAATTCACACGCGGCGGTTCGCCCATTAGCCGCCGTCGTCCCTCCATCTGGATCTGGACCTTGACGAGGTCAGCGGGCGAGGCCAGCCATTGGGCCACAGCACCAGCGGTGACGCCGCATAGCGCTGACTTCCACACGGGCAGCGCCTGGGTGCCGTTCTCTGTGAACTCCTTGCGCATCAAATCGTAGCTGCAGATCCTCACGCCGCTGTGAATGGACAGGGAGAGCAAGGATAAGTTGGTTTTAGAACTGGCTGGTGATTCAAGCTGGAGCTGGGCTGGACTGGAGCTGCTGCTGATGCTGCTGCTGTTGGCGGCTGGCTAGTGCTGATGCTAGAAAGATGAGGAGGATTTGAGAGAGAGAGAGAGAGAGGAAATGCCCACCTATAGACAAGGTGTCGGTAGAGCGCCGGCGTCACGCCCTGCCACAGCTTCAGGGCGCCCTCCTCGCGCGCAATCCCGAAGGCGGTGGCCACCATGCCGCGGTATTGCATCTGGTAAATGGTAATCAATCGTTTGATATCGGTAATTGTGCTTTGGTTTTTGGATCATTGTGTATTATCTGCAGAACAGGCACACACACACACACACACACACACACATACGTGGGAGGTAGTGAGTTATCAACAACAAAAACAAAGGACTACGGATGCGGCAAAGGAATTGGTAGTTGGGGGTTGACATCAAGCAGTAGCTAAGCGGCAAACATCATCTTCCATATCACCATCACCATGGTCATGCCGTGCCCACTCCGATTAGCATTATCTCGCGCCTCCACACACACAGATACACAAAACTCAAAACATTATACGAAACCTTATCGCCGGACGAGATAAATCAGAGGGGCCGTTCCATGCTCAGCTTAGGTATGTGAGAGCAACAAATGGGGATTAAGGAATGCCATGGATGGGGGAGTGTGGAGTGACCAACAACAATAATCACAAAGACAGAAAACAAGCAATAATCTGGGATACATTTTCGGCTTCTTATACTCACATTTGTCTTGGCCACCGAAGCCACCGCAGCCGCCTCGCCCTGAATCTGCAGACGCGTCTTGGTCAAGTCCAGCGGATAGGTGGCCAGCTCTGCTATGGAGGCGGCCACCACCGAGACAATGTAGGTGCAGGCAAAGGAATCCGCATAGTCATACTTCACAGGACGCAGCTGGTGGCGTCCACTGGCGGAGGCAGGCACTGGCGAGGAGCCGGGAGCTGATGGAGTTGCCGACTCCTCGGGCGGCGAACCTGTTGCAGCGGCAGCCATTGCGCGTAACTCTGAAAGATGGAAGGGTAAAGAGAGAGAGAGAGAGTCTTAGAGATCCATGCGATGGGAAAGGTAAACACAGGTGGAAAACAAACTTTGGGGGGAGCAGGTGAAGAAAGAAAACTTTCACACAATCGCGTGATGTTTGCTCCCGCTCTCTCTTGCTCTCTCTCTCTCCGGGAGGAGAACGAACTGTGCGGCGCTTCCGGATGGTATATATCTATATGGAGATGATGAGGATCGTTGGCTTTGGCCTTTGTGTCCAACGTTTCGCTTCCGTGCCTTTACATAACAACAACGACGACTGCGGCGGCGGAGGTTTTGGCAAACGCTTCTGTTGGATGTGTTGTTTGTGTTCAAGGCAACAACAAGAACAACAACAATAACAAAGGGAACGTCGAACGAGCCAGAAATCAAATCAAAATCGCATTGAGCGCTCTTATAAAACACTGGGAGGCACGCGCTGGGCGGCTAATCATGTTTGTCCACCCTGCCAGCGACGCCGCTCTATTTATATCCTTTATAAACCCAGCAGTTATCAGCTTTGCAATAAAACAAAAAAAAAAGGCACACACAAAAACAAAAACACAACAGCAGCGGCGGGGGCCCCAGTGTTGCAAGGCGCTGCAACTTCGAACTATCGGCGCTTATCGGATTTGCACTCAAAGAAAAACTTTGGGATTTTTGGGAATTTATTTTTTTAATCTTTCTGAAAAGGCACTAAATAAAATTGATGTTGAAAAAATATTATTAGATTATTTAATCATAAATAAATTAATCAAAATAAAAATAGATAGCTCCATTAGTGGATCAATCAATGGCAATCAATATCCAATTATTTGTTTAAGTATTCCACAAATTCTCGTTATCTTTTTGTTCACAAGGTAGAATCTATAATTTTACCTGCAATTTAATTTTAATTTATAACTTTTCCCTTCCAGTGTATTTGGGAGTGCTGCCTGGCAACCCTAAAATCGATAGGCGGTCCGCCTCGATCGCGGTTTTTATCGAAAGGCGCGCAATCAGGACGCGGCAAACTTTTCTTTATTTATTTATTTTTTTTATGTTTGTTGTTGAATTCAAAGCATTCCTCTAGCATGCAGGCATTTTTGAAGACCGGCAAATCAAGTGTCGGACATGGAGAAAAGGTCCAGGGGGCAGCCGCGGAAAGACGTAAGCCACCGGCTCCTTGGGTGGAGAAATAGTAAGTCATTTTTTTGTGGGCAGCGCAAAAGCACATGCTCCTAGTAGTAATGGCTCCTTGTTATTAGTCGGCCCCGCAACGTGGACGATGTGGTGGAGCAGTCCGAGGTGGTGGCCGTGCTGCGCAAGTGCGTCGAGGGCGGCGATTTGCCCAACATGCTGCTCTACGGACCACCGGGTACGGGAAAGACGAGCACCATTCTGGCAGCTGCCCGACAGATTTTCGGTGATATGTACAAGGACCGCATACTGGAGCTGAACGCGTCCGATGAGCGTGGCATCAATGTGGTGCGCACCAAGATCAAGAACTTCTCACAGCTGTCGGCCAGCAGTGTGCGTCCAGACGGACGGCCCTGTCCGCCCTTCAAAATCATCATCCTGGACGAGGCGGACTCGATGACACATGCCGCCCAATCGGCTCTGCGTCGCACCATGGAAAAGGAGAGCCGCAGCACGCGCTTCTGTTTGATTTGCAACTACGTTTCGCGCATCATTGTGCCCATCACGTCGCGCTGCTCCAAGTTTCGGTTCAAGGCGCTGGGCGAGGAGAAGGTAATAGCTCGCCTGAGGCACATCTGCGACTCGGAGGGCGTCAAGATCGATGAGGATGCATACAAGTCCATTGTTAAGATCTCGGCTGGTGATCTGCGTCGCGCCATTACCACGCTGCAGTCATGCTATCGCCTGAAGGGCTCTGAGCACACCATCAACACGGCCGATCTGTTCGAGATGTCGGGCGTTATACCGGATTACTATTTGGAGGACTATCTGGAGGTGTGCCGCTCGGGCAACTATGAGCGCCTGGAGCAGTTTGTTCGCGAGATTGGCTATTCCGCCTACAGTGTGGGCCAAATGATGGAGCAGTTTGTCGAGTTTATTGTCCATCATCAAAACCTCACTGATCCCCAAAAGGCCAAGATTCTGGATAAGTTGGGTGTAGGTTAATCAAGGAGATAGAGGAGATTATAAATGATATTGATTGGGTTTTTGTTTTTCTTGCAGGAAAGCTGCTATCGCCTTCAGGACGGCGGCTCAGAGTACCTGCAGATCATGGATCTCGGCTGCTGCATTATCCTGGCCCTGAAATGATTCTCAGTCTTCATAAAAATGCACATTATTGCTTGAATGTTGAAAATACACACACATATATATATTTAAAATGAATCTTTGCTGGTTTTGGTGAGCGTTCTCGATTCTGTTCGATTTCAGATACATTTTCCGTTCTATTTACATTTTGATCTTCTAAATTTATGTTCCGATTTCAAACTTGTTTATCTTTGCTTTTGATTTCGGCAGGATGTGAAAATATATATGAAGAGGGGGTTACAGATATCGCTGGGGTTTTGACACCTTTAGAAATGCGACCAAAAAGTAGCCTGTGGAGTGTTTCCTTCTCCAATATACATATGGTTAACTGTGGTCTTTACTTTCTCTCTGGCTTATTTTCAGACACATTTCTGGGTAATCTTAGATCTAAGGCGATTTCTGCGTATGTTTGTCTTAATATCTACTGCCTTCGCGCTCCTTAGTTCGCTGTAAACTCAAACTCGTCCTCCTCGCGTTCCCGCTTAACGGCCACGCCGGAGGCGCTTGAGCCACTGACACTGGCACCGCCCCCGCCGCCCGATGTACTGGCAATACTGCCCACGGCCGCCGCATCGCTGTCCACTTCCATTTTGAGATCGCCGCCACCGGTGCCGCCGCTCGGTTCGCTTTTCACATCCCCCACAGATCCTCCACCACCGCCAGCAGCTCCGCCGCCACTGGCACTGTTGCTGCTTGCCACCTTGGTGGTCGTTGTCGTGGTAAACTTAATCACGGGCTTGGGTATGGTCACCACCTGCTGCTTGGACACCACCGAGTGGATCCGCTTTGGACCATTGGCACTGGACACCGGCTTGACGACGGTCTTGAGCGGTCGCCCCTCCAACGCCGATTTGGTCATCTTTTTGGGCTGATTGGTGGCGCGTAGCTTGTAGTTGACCCCGGTGAGGCAGTAACGGTCGGGCGGCAGACGCAGGCCGCAATGGGGCTTGATGGGCGGCAGGGGCATGTTGTTGCGCAGCTCGGCCACCTTGGCCAGAACGTGACGCGGTAGCGGGCCAGTGAAGCTCTTGTCCAGCGTCATTTCAGTGGCCAGACGCACGTCGTCCAGGTCGATGGTTTTCTTGCGCGCATGATTGGCATATACCTTGGCGTCGTCCAGGATGCAGGTCACATAGCCTGCAGGAAGTAAACGAATTGTATTATATTACAGGAATGCAGAGGTGGAGGCGGGGGCGGGGTCGCCTTACGGAAAGTGAACTCCAGCATCTGGTTGACGACGCGCGGCTCGTATTCCTGAATGTTCAGCTCTTTGAGTATGGACATGATCACCTGGGCATCCTTGGGCACATGCTTGATCTGGGCACTGATCTTGGCCTTTTCGGCCTTCTCACTGCTCATTGTTTAAACGTTTTCTTTCGATTTTTGTTTATTTTTATTCAATTCCACGTACGGTCTGCTGCAAAAGGCGTTATGGCTTTATTAGTGAAGAAAGCTGGTAACACTATATCGACATTTTTTCGTTATATCGATATGCAGACATCATCGATAGCTGAAGAATAATCATCGGAGACAGTCGATAACGATACATTATTAGAAAACGGAAAATGACGTTAAAAATTCGAATTAGGCAAAGCAAAAGTGAGGAAACCATAAAAACAAAATATACAGACCCAAAAATAAATCCACTTTCAAACAAACACATTTAACGTAAGAAAACTTTTATTCATTAAACGTACAGCTCTCTCTCTCTCTCTCTCTCTTTCTTACTTGGAAGACAATTTGAAGCTTGCCGCGCATTATTACATTCATATTACACAGTGTACAGTGAAACTTGTAGCTTAGATACATACAGACATACATATTTTCGTTTATTAATTATTATTTTAGATACACTACACATGTACGCTACGTACTACAATAAATTAACTCTTTATTGTTCCCGTCTTTTATATTCGCTCGCATATTCGAATTATATATTATATAAGCTCCTTCTAATTTATATATATATGTATATGTACTTTGTTTTTATTTGCAAAAAACGCGCAAACACTTCGCGCACCAAACAACTTTGACGCAACTTTGACTCAAGTCCCACGATCGTTCAGTTATATGCATATATCTATATAGACTACAAACTAAAATTCTTTACGAATTGCAAAAAAAAAAATTAAGATGTTTCATATTATTATTGTCGAATGTAATTATTTCTTATTTAAGCTGCTATTATTTCTCAAGTTCATCGTGTGTTTTTTTGTGCTTTACTGGGGGTTCCCCTCGATCTCTTCCACTCCTGCTGGGTCCTTTATTATATTTTTTGTTTTGTGATTACTACGATCCAATTCCAGCTGACTTTCTAGTAGTTGTAGGGACCGTACTGGGAGCCATGGTAATAGGGTCCGGGATAGATCTGCGGCTGGGCATAGTTGGCGTAGGGCGGATACGGGGGCTGCTTCTGCGAGTAAACTGTGTGGGAAAATAGCAAGGCAAAGTCCGAGATTAGTTATTTCAATTCCATTTCTAATGCGTAAATTAATTCTCACCTGGCATCAGGTACTGCAGATTCAGCTGCTCCTCCTTCTCGCGTTCGTTGCGCAGGCAAACGGCCGCTCCAGAGAGCAGGATGGCCGCCAGTAGACAAGTTCCAATCCCTGCCCAGGCCACAATGTACGACCAGTCGTAGGCAATCTTTGTGTTGTCCCTCAGAACCTATCAAAAAAGTACAACAATTAATAAGAAAAAAAAAATAAATATTAAAGCAACCGTTGAAGTACTCACAGTATTCCATTGCTGGAAATAGTCCTCGCCCACGACCTTCTCCTTCTCAAAGAACTCGACCGTGTGCCAGAGACCCATGGCGCCGGCGGCTAGAAGACAGGTGACTAGCAGCAGGATCGAGGTGGCCGTTATGGCGCCCGAAGAGCGCTTCCAACAGCCCGAGAGGCCGGTCCAGAAGGCACAGAAGATGGTCACAAAGCTGATGATGAACAGGGCGATGCAGGAGCGAGCCAAATGCAGGCGTGAGGTGGCATCCTCGTTGGCAATCTTCTCATCCTCCGCCTGGGGGAAGTAATCGATGTTCGAGCAGTGCGTCTCAATGGGAGAGAGATATGTGGGCACTATATAGAATAAAATATGATTAGCTATATGTTTATATTTCTAAAGTGTCAAGCAGCCTTACCCGCTGTGACCGGTGGTCGCTCCTTGGGATAGCAGATACGGAACAGGCCGCGTGTCCTGGTGTAGTAGTAGTACTTCACATTCAGGTTGTGCATCAAGGAATCTGCATCCGAATGCTTGGCGGCAAAGGCCTAGAATTCATGAAAAATAAAAGCGAATTTAGTTTAGATATATTTTAAATGTAAAATAAACTTAAAATAACATTTAGAAATATTTCCCAGTGTTCGTTCCAATTAACTTGGCTTCGCTTTTGACTTTTTCACTCTAAGATAAGCTCGAGTTAACCTTCTTAAGGGATTAACGCCTATAGTAAAATGTCAGAAATAAAGCTCACTGGAATAAGTAATAATAAATGGTTATTCAACCGAGCAAACAGCAGCTTGAATTGAAGTTCATTGATAAACCTGTTTCCGTGGGCGTCTCTCTTAATAATTTGTTCAACTACCTAGCACAATATCTCGCTATATATTTGTATACATATTGCCATATCACAATCGGCATTGAAAGGCCGAGACCGAGAAGTCGATCATCATCGTCAGCCACCAACATCCATCCACCCATCCATCCGGTCATCTCGGATTCAGTTAGTGTGGGTTGCTTGGGCTGGGATGTACATGTATGTATAAATATATATATAGGTAGCATAAAGATGTAGCTCTCGTATCAGATCGAGTGGCATTTTGAACACGTTCCGCGGTTTCCCATTGTTTTCGGTGGCTGCGTTGAGCAATTCTCGAGAGATGACGAGCTGGCCCAAGGTTCCCCCAGTGGTTCCATGTGGCTACAGCCGCATTATACCCATTTACAGTGCGTCTTGCGGCTGTAACATCTTTATCTGATCTGCGCTTTATATCATTTAGTTACTATAACTCTTTGTCAATGAGAAATCATGGACTTTAATAGATTTTATTTCGGTTTTTACATAGCCACAAGGTTTTGTTCGTGTTTATAGAAAAAATAATCCTAAACAAGAAAGGAAGCTAACTTCGGCACGCCGAAGTTTGTATACCCTTGCAGATTGGTTTTCATATTTATATTATAAATTATAATGCCGAAAACAGACACTAAACAGAGTTTCATTAAATTTTACCTATACTTATTATGTTTACAGTTTAACAGTTACAGTTTTACATTCCCAGCTTTATATATTTTATACATTTACCGATCGCTTCTATGACAGCTATAAGATATAGTTGTCCGATTTTTATAAAATTTATACCAAATATCTATAGTAATAAGTAAAGCTCATATCTCAGAGTAGATGAAAATACGTTGAAAAACAACGAAGTTATAATTTTTCTATTACTTTCCCTATCGTTCCTATGGCAGCTATAAGATATAGTCGTCCGATTTTCATAAAATTTATACCAAAATTTTGAAATAATACCAGAAGCTCATGTGTCAAAGTAGATTAAAATACGTTGAAAAACAACGAAGTTATAATTTTTTTCGATTAATTTCCCGATCGTTCCTATGGCAGCTATAAGATATAGTGGTCAGATTTTCATAAAATTTTTACCAAAATTCTGGAATAATAAAAAAAGGCTTCATCCCAAAAATGGTGGAATAATATTGAAAAACAGCCAAGTTATAATTTTTTTTCCAAAAATTTATCGAACATTTGTATGGCAGCTATATGATATAGTCGTCCGATCCGGCCCATTCCGACATATATAGCAGTGAAAGTATATAGAAGACTATATGCAAAGTTTCATTCAGATAGCTTTAAAACTGAGGGACTAGTTTGCGTAGAAACGGACAGACGGACAGACGGACAGACGGACATGGCTAGATCGACTCGGCTGTTGATGCTGATCAAGAATATATATACTTTATAGGGTCGGAAACGTCTCCTTCACTGCGTTGCAAACTTCTGACTGAAATTATAATACCCTGCAAGGGTATAAAAATTGTATTTATGGAGGCTTGGGTTGATTTTAGGGTGTCTTGCCTAAGAGCTTATTAACTAATCAAAGTTCTACTCAGTCTTGCTTCTTTTTTAGTTATTTTTTTCATATTAAATCATAGCTATTAAAACTAAGCTATACATATATAGATCATACATCGCTTAAACACTTGACACCTTTAAGTAGTAACTGGCCTCTACTTCATGATAAATCCCCCTAATTAATTAAAATATGACGCATTTGATCAAGTCACCAATTACTTGGCTCATCGAATCTTTTGATTAATGTTCCGACTTGGTAGAACTCCACGTAGCACCCTTTCACCAAATCAAATGAATTACGAAGCCAACAAGAAAAGACTCAAAGAAAGGAAAAAAAAATCAAAGTGAAATCCAATCATTCCGAGTGATATCACGTTCCACACGTTTTTGGCAGAAATTCTACAATTTCGCAGGCTTGTCTTGACTTTTCCACCAAGGGAAATCGCCGAGAGAGAGAGAGAGACGACGACGACGACGACGACGACGACGACGACAACTAGACCTTTATTACCAACAAACCGCATCAGGCATTTTCATGAGGTGAAAAATATATATAAAAAAAAAAGAAATGAGAGACTTGCTAGCAGTTGAAAAACGTGTTTTTCTCCACGACCTGTCCATGTCCGGTACTTAAGCAACACAATGGGGAAATACCAAAAAAAAAACCTAAGGGGTTTGGGGCTCATATATCGAAAACTGTTTTCAGTTTTCCATTTTTATAAAATTTTTTTGTATTTCTTTTTTTTATCGGTTTTGGGTTTATGTAAATTTTTGGCGGCTGGTTGGAAAATGTTTTGACTTTTTTTTCGCTTGCGTAATCAACGTCTGGGTTTAGGGCTTCGCCAACTGGTTAGGGCGCTACACCTCACATTTCCATTTCCATTACCATTTCCCCTACCATTTCCATTTTTATTTTTGTATTTTCGTTTTCGTATTTTCCCATCTTTATCTTGTGAAACGTTTTCGCTTGGCTCGTCTCGAGGTCCAAAGCCCTCTTTATTAGCGCCTCTTCAGTGGATTAATTTTGTAACTTTCTTATGAAAGTCGCCGGCAATTAAGGGCCCCCAAAGTCTCTACAAATTATTGTCTGTCTTGGCCGAGACAAGATGCCGGAGATTCATTCAGGAAAAAGACAGCTCTGAGCTGGATTAGAAATGCATTCGGCTGTGAACGAAAAAGCGGAAAAATGTGAAGAAATCGGCACCAGAGATAGAGAGAAGAGAGCAACTTGGATTCGGACTCCTGAAATTGTCGGTTGGTTAGCTGGATTAATGCGGCATTTCATACATATATACATATATATAGAGCTAAAGATAGCCAAAGATATATACTTATACTCATAGTTATAGTTATGGGGGTTTTACGCTTGGCCAGGCATTGATTGCGACATAAAACTGTGATGCGAAAAGTGCTTCAAGGTTGATCAGATGATCAGTGATCGTACCGAGGGGAAACTGCAAATTATCGAAATAATATCAGATCGGGTCACATTGCTTATCGATAATACAATGCATTTTATGGCTAAGGCCCCACCCATATCAATGCGATTTCATCTTCAGCTCAGGCATTGGAAACTTTCTTCAGTGAAATTACCCATCAAAAGCCAAAGTATTCAAGAAAGAAAGCTGATCAACGTTAAATTCACTCAAAGTACTGTTCATTATTATATTTTTATAAATTTAATTTTACAATTATGCTTGAAGTCTTCTTTCTCAGATAAAGATATTTTCTTAAATATTAATAAACAGCATCTCATAAAACTCAAAATATTTCATATTATGAATAGTATTTTTGGTTTTTTAATGACTTCTTCAATCGAAATTATCTATATGCAAAAGTCGATTTTAAATCGATTAACTTTTTGATATTTTTCCTTCTCTAGGCTCATATTCTACTGCTACTTTTAAGATCTTGTTCTTAAATTAAAATAATAAATATTTGAATTTGGATTAGCAAAGAATAGGAATAAATCGCCATTATATATATATTTTTTTAGCTGATGAATTCTACCATTACAGATCATTAAAACCAGGTTTATTCTTGGGTATAAACAATTTCCAATTGATTGTTGCCAATATTTTTGCGTATTCCCAACTGCAACCACTTGGCGCTGAGTGGCTCAGTGGCTTAGTGGCTTGGTGACTTGGCTGCTGGCTGGCGGTTGCCTCAGTTTCCCGGGCGCAGTGGCTCAGCGGCTCAGTTGGACGACAGTTGGTTGGCACAGGCACAAATATTTTTATGACACCCGGGGCGAAACTAGTTTTGGTTTCTCAGCTCGGCTTGGCTTTGCCACCAACTTCGCCCTCTTAGCCAGCTATCTGGGCTCTCCCCCCCCTTTGGAAGCCAACACAACGGATGTCGGTGATTAGCCAATCGGGCAGCATGTGTAAGGCACTTGGATCGGATCGGAACGGATCGGAGCGGATCGGAGCTTGGCTTAAAACCAGATGGATCGGTTCTGGCGGAGCAGGATCTCTGGCCAGCTGCTGTTATATTCCCCACGAAAAAATGCGCCAAGTCAAGGCCGAACAAATGTGCGGCTGCATATTTTCAGCCCCAGGGGAGTGGTTGGATTTTCATTAGTTGTTTTTCTTTATTTTTTTCCTCCTAAATTCCACCGAAATTGGTAATCAATTTGGCATTTCTTGACTGGCATATTAACCTGGTTATTAGCAAGTGTTTACATAAATAAAGTCATATTTTCAACAACTGAAAATGAAGTTGACTAGGAAAATGGAAACAGACAATAAAAGCGGAAATTGAAAGCAGCTTGGTATTTGTCACTGATAAATATTACAAATATGATAAAAACTGATACGAAAATTATCGATTAGGAATTTTTACAAATAGAAAAAGATTTTAAATCGATAAATATATATACATATTTATACAGTTATAGCTAGAAATTTTTTATAATTAAATAAATATAAATTATATAATTGAAAACCGCGAACAATTCTGACCTGGCCAATAGCAAGAAGTTATTAAGCCTGTAGCTCTAAGATATGTTTTGAAATTAATTTATAAGATACTTTACCTTCTTTACCTTCTTCAAAAAAAATCAACAAATATTTTTTAGCTTAATTTCCCTATTTATAGATATTTCTTCCTGTGCATCCAATGCTTAAATGAATAATTTATAATTAAAAAAACAAGAAAACAGTTTGCAACAATTCCAATGCA